GGCACAGGCAGGGAGCCCAGCCAACAGCGAGTTGCAGTAATCCAGACGGGAGATGACAAGTGCCTGGATTAGGACCTGTGCCGCTTCCTGTGTAAGGCAGGGTCGTATTCTCCGAATGTTGTAGAGCATGAACCTACAGGATCGGGTCACCGCCTTGATGTTAGCGGAGAACGACAGGGTGTTGTCCAGGGTCACGCCAAGGCTCTTCGCACTCTGGGAGGAGGACACAACGGAGTTGTCAACCATGATGGCGAGATCATGGAACAGGCAGTCCTTCCCCGGGAGGAAGAGCAGCTCCGTCTTGCCAAGGTTCAGCTTGAGGTGGTGATCCGTCATCCATACTGATATGTCTGCCAGACATGCAGAGATGCGATTCGCCACCTGGTTATCAGAAGGGGGAAAGGAGAAGATTAGTTGTGTGTCGTCTGCGTAGCAATGATAGGAGAGGCCATGTGAGGATATGACAGAGCCAAGTGACTTGGTGTATAGCGAGAATAGGAGAGGGCCTAGAACTGAGCCCTGGGGGACACCAGTGGTGAGAGCACGTGGTGCGGAGACAGCTTCTCGCCACGCCACTTGGTAGGAGCGACTGGTCAGGTAGGATGCAATCCAAGAGTGAGCCGCGCCGGAGATGTCCAGCTCGGAGAGGGTGGAGAGGAGGATCTGATGGTTCACAGTATCAAAGGCAGCAGACAGGTCTAGAAGGACAAGAGCAGAGGAGAGAGAGTTAGCTTTAGCAGTGCGGAGAGCCTCCGTGACACAGAGAAGAGCAGTCTCAGTTGAATGACCAGTCTTGAAACCTGACTGGTTTGGATCAAGAAGGTCATTCTGAGAGAGATAGCAAGAGAGTTGGCTATAGACGGCACGCTCAATAGTTTTGGAGAGAAAAGAAAGAAGGGATACTGGTCTGTAGTTGTTGACATCAGAGGGGTCGAGTGTTGGTTTTTTGAGAAGGGGTGCAACTCCGTACCTTTCTCTCCCAACACATGTGACTGAAATGTAATGCAGGTAGATGTCCCTGTGCCTCTTTTCATCCTGATTATGTTAGGGGTTATTCCTACCTTGAACTTGTGAATTCCTTCAGATCATAAATACTTTTTGCCAGTTCAGTCAAGGGTGACCACAGAGTTATGTCATTATATGGGTTTCCATGGCAAAATTATCTGATTTTAAATGTTCTCCACAAGCTGTTTATGCCTTTCGTGTCTTATAATAACTGAGGTATACACACATTAAACATTTATGATCATTAATTGACAGCCCCATGCAGTGAGAGGGGATGCAGTTTTCAGCAGTCAGTATTGATGACCCTCCAAAAAGTAGGAGTATAGGCAGTGCTTGACTTGGGCAGGAGCTCACCGGAGCTAAGTACCGGCACCTCAAATGTTCTACTGCTTGAGCTCCTGTTCCTCTTATAGAATATTAGCTCAAAAGTATTGTGGAGCTCCTGCACCTAAATATAAACAGTACCGACACCCAAAATGAGTACCGGCACCTATTTAAGTCCAAGTCAAGCACTGCCTATAGGTATCCTCTTAGGTATTCTAACTCTGTGCAAACTTGTATACCTGTGTTCAGTTGAGTATAGGTACACAGCAAATGTGAATATGATCATTCATTAACCATGCCATACAGAATACGGTTTTCGGCAAGCACCCTACCAGTGTCATGTTCATGAATTCAATGAAATGGTCAACCTTTGTTTGTCTACTGTATTGGAGGAAACTAGTATTCATATCAGTTGCTTGTAGTAAAGTGTCCCCTGATAGGCATGCATTGGCTTATGTACATGACAAGCATCGTATGGGATATGTTACCAGGAAAGATAGTTACCCGACATTGCAGGTAGATATTGAATGTACAAAATGTAAACACCTGTCTATTTCAAATATACATTTTTTTGCATGTAATTTTTATCTGCCACATTTTTTACGTACTTTCAGTTTCCTTCGGCAGTGTGTTGATACTCATTACTTACAGAAAAAAATAGGTGGATATAATATAATCATTCTTTTATTTTTATTGCATCATAACATACATATTATATATTATAAATGTGGATTTGTACACTACAATCTTCATTGTAACATGTTATAAAATATTCAGGCTCAAAAAACGAAGCACTAAAAACTTTACCAAACAGTTAATACATTTCATTGTTTGCCCATTGAGAAAAGAAAATGTAAAAAGAAAATCAACATAAGAACAAAACAAAGGAAGAGCCAAGCATAGACTGGTCACTGTTAAAACCGCTAAGGGACAGATACAGTTACAAAGGCAGGGGGTAGTAGGGGGCACTCAGTTGCGCTTAATGCTGCGTTCGTAACCAAGTGAGAAGTGGGACTTTACCACATACAACTGGTAAAAATCCACTTGAATGGCCCTCCAACTGGTAATTACTTGTGGGAAACTCATCCACCATCCTGAGCTCCCCTTTCTCCTACATGCTGACATCATCTACTAAGGATATAACCTCGATAACAGCATTTCCGGCAGTTAAATGCAACAACAAAACATTATTTATAAAAAATAAATCTATTAATTTGGTTTTTGAACACTATAAATTGTTTACAAGCGTGACAGCTGTACTTTTAGTTTATGGTTTACGCAGCTTGTTGGCAATTAGTCAATCAGCGTTTCTCGAAAGGTTCAAAGCTGGTAATTGCAACCAACTAGTATTTACGACTTCACAACTTGTAAATTCCCACCTCCCCCCTGGTTACGAATGCTGCATTAGTCAAAGATCACCCTTTCTGTACTGACATCATGGTTAATATTCTAGTGTTGCCTACTGTTTCTTGTATACACATGGCAAGAGTACATGTTACGATACTTTGCCAAAGGGACTATTTTAGGAGAGAGCCAACACTACAGCAAACACAGTGGTCCAAACAAAGAAACATGTAGGGTGGGCATTTTTTCTCACTTTTTCTAAGACCAAGACACAAAATGTTGCACACCATTACATGTCAACGATCATCCTTAACCCATTTTTTTGGGTTTCACCACTACTGCAATCGAGCCACGTGCTATTGTCTGAATATTAGGGAAGAAGAGATATCGGAATGTCCCATCTGATTCAAGGCAGTGCCCTCAAATATGTTTCAGAAATTGGCCATATCTTTACCACAGATTCATGATCCACAGTACATACATATTCCACTGACCATGACATATTTATACATATACTATAGTATGTACACATACACCATTTTGTAATCCACCGTGAACTATCCCTCTACGTTTCCCCCAGGGAATGTGCTAAAACATTGCTGCAACAACAGTCAATATGTTCAAACTGTTTCCATGGTTTCCCACAGAATACTGGGAGAGCTGAAGATTTGGTTATGTGACCAGACTCCATTTTGCAAGGCAACCCACTTCAGACCAACATATATATCTTGCCAGAAGACACAGACAGCCACGACCATCCAACTCCCCCATGCTCCAACTCAAAGTACACACTCGGACCACTCAATGGCAGTTTTAGGTGCTTCCGTTTTGGAGTTCAATGCCCACATACAGTATTTGGGTTCAAAAGCTGGCACAGCCAACAAACCTCACCACCACTGACTTAGCCAGCAGCTGGGCTATTCCTACAAGAGCACCGGAAAGGCTAGTTTCTGGATGATAAGTCATTGCTTCTCTTCTTTTTTTTTTTTTTTTTAACTAGTTTCCCCCCACCCCACACCCTCCCCTAAAACCCCATTACAGATGAAATATACACTTACATACATGTACATACTCTCTCACACACACACAAACACACAAATGTACAGTAACACACAGCTGGAACATAGATTAAACAGTTCACTGGTTTCATGAAAAGCTGAGGAGTAAGTACATGTCAGCAGAGCAGAACTAACCCCTGATTGGTCCTGCACACGGACACTTCTCCTGTCTGAGGAGAAATGGTTGGTTCCTCAACTTTGAGTCCCTGTAACATAGCATCATCAGAAAGATCAAATCAGCTTTCTCCACATTGTTCATTCTTCAGAACAGAGCGTAAGATATGGAGAATTCCCCACAAAGCAGGGGCAGACAGAAAACTTACAGCAAGTTGGCTAAATAACAGGATTCATATTAACTTTATTGCAATCTCATGTCTGTATCAGGAAACAGCCAGTTCGGCACTCTCTAACATAATTTGATTTCACAAGTTTGGCACAGACAAAGAAACCATATCAATATTCTATCTGCCCAAGATATGTAAATATACAAATACATAAAAAAGTATATGAATGTTTTGCTTAATTTGCATGTATAAAATGAACAGTGTAGATTATCCTTGCTAGTCCTTGCAACCAATTAAGAACAAAATAAAAGACATACGCATGGTAATTCCAATAACATTGAAATTTGAACACACAAGGATCATACATCAACAAATGTTGAAATGATAGATCTCCAGCATTTCACACATTGTAAATAACAAACAACAAACAACACACAAAAACATACAACCACAAAGTTAGTGACGTGCTTAGAATGATCATACACTGATCATGATCTAAGCACCGAACATGGACAATTGATTTAAGAATCAACATACCCAAAACCATTGTCCTGTTGTGACATATGAGGTAAAAAGGTTCTATACCACCACTCCTCCACTCAAATAAGTGCCTCAGGTTCTATCCTATCCCTGATCAGTATTCTGCCCTCAGCTGTGCATGTATTTCACAAGGCTTGATTGATTGACAGATTGTTGGTTGGTTGATTTTTGCAGGCCAGATATAACCTCCTAACCTGAGCTAGGCTTTAGCTAGCCTGGGCCACCACATTGTCACTGTAGTTAGCTAGTGCTGCAACTCCAATAGGCCTAAGCCCTGTGATGCCTGGCCTTGGAATAGTCTAGGCCTGGGCTGGGCTGTGAAGCTGTGTGTGCAGGACAAACCAAGAGGTTAGGCGAGCTCATAGAGGGAGTGGGAGAGATGAAGAGAGACCGAGAGAGACCAGGTTGTCGAAGGGAGGTGCATGAGGTGCATTATACCCACCCCGGCCCACTCAGTTCTTCCCCTCCTCCACTCACCCCCCCCGTCTGTCCATCCATACCCTGCTAAGTCTCCTCATATGGAAATGTTGTGCTCTGTAAGAGATTTCTAAGGCAATGTCACATTACAGATCAAAATGTACAACACCTATACATTGTGCGGTTGTGGCGCGGGAGGGGGTGGTGGGAGATGGGGGGGTGTGGGCTCTATAGGGTTAGGACAGTAGCCTCCATCACGATGGCGGGGTCCTCAATGTCCGCTTTGCTCTGAACCATTCTCAGCTCCAGTTGAGGCGGGCTGGGTTTTCGGCCAGGCCCTGCTAACTCTGAGAGAGAAAGAGAGGGAGAAAGAGAGGGAGATAGAGAGAGAAAGATGGAGGGGGCAAAAAGAGGAGAGAGAATCACCCAGAGAAAGACAAAAACAAAGACAGAAGGAGCAAATGAGCGTTCAAGCATCTCAAACACAAGCGCATAAACACACAAACACTTCTTACAGTGAGTAAAATGATGCTTGACTTTGTCTTACCGTGAGCATAGGAGATGGTCCTCTTGATAACGTGATGCATGACTGAGAAAGTCTTCTCACATGCAGTCTAACAGAGAGAGAGAGAAAGACAGAGAGAGACTTGTTTGTCAAAGCATGTTGAAAGCATGTTGAAACTTTAAAGGAAATTAAGCTGCCATCCTGAGCCTTCTTTTACAATTGCAGTTTTTAAATCGTAGGACTGAGCACCCCTTCAGTGGTCCAGACAACTCTTGTAATCTTGGTAAGAGTACCAGCATACCACAACTATCAAGTTTGACCTTACCTTGAGAATTTTTGGGGGAAGTTTGAATGGTGGGAACGTAGCTGACTGATTGATATCACTATCATTATAAGTATGATGCTGACAGTATCAGTGGTGAGCTTTAGCTATAAAAGAGAGAGCAATAAAACCTAGAGGGTGCACCTCCAATCTATTCTATTGATTGCTTCTCTGACAGCATGGGCAGCGCCATGGAGGGCCATTAATATCACGCTCCGGGGTGAAGTTTCCCCTAGATCTAGGATCAGCTTCCCCTTCCCCAATCGTAACCATAGTGGGGGAAATGCAAAACTGACTCAAGATCAGTATCTAGGGCAGTGGTCACCAATCGCGATCGACTGGTCGATCTCCAAGCCATTCCTAGTCGATTACCAAACATTTCTGTAAAGAACCCAATGATAAAGCCTTGTGTTCCTATTTTTTATTATTTTTTGGTTCATGCTGTTGGCGGTAGGTGCACTTGATTCAGCAGCACTAGTGCCGGGAAGGCAAAGTGTTACCATTTTGAACAATTTCATGTGTCTGAAGGTAGAACTCCGCCTACCCGGCAGGCCCAGAGAGCAAATCAAGTGCACCTATAGGTCTACCGCTAGCCAATCACATAGCTCAGATCACCGTGTCTACACAGTTTGGTCGTGCCATAGACTGAAAAAATAAGCCATAAAATGCGTGCTCTCCCTACTTCCACTCATGCTACAACCATTACTGCAGCTGCAATGAATGAGTTTAGCAAAGTGTTTCGATAAGCTTACGTTGTTATTATTTGCGGCTTGTGTCTTTTTTAATATCAAGGAATATTTCACTTTCTCTGGTCATAGAGGTAACAACATGAATTGGTGCATGAGGCAGAAATAATGCAGTGCGACTTAAGTTTTGCCATCAGCTGGAAGACTATGTCCCCTTTTCTGAGTGGAGGGAGGTAGAGAGGATGGACGGTGAGTCGGGTAAGAGGCAGCCTCAAAGCTGCTCCCTCCCTCCACTCAGATTGACCATCAGACGCAGGCCATCAATCAAAAGACCAAATGATTATGCTCACTCAGCTGTGCCTCACAAGGAATACAACAAATGATCTATTATCAGTGTTATCATATACCTACATTTTGAAACAATATCAAAATGGTCTGAGAAGAACAACTTTGGCAGGGCAATTCAAGCATAGTGATAATATATTGGGCCTATTGCCTACTGCACAAACCTCATTGCTACAGAACTGTTTATAATTGGTAAATGTTGCATAGGCTTACGTTTTTTAAGTTATGTTTCTTTTTTAAATCTGAGCGGTAGATCTCGGCTTGCATTGTGACTCAGAAAGTGATCTTGACTCAGAAAATGTTGGTGACCACTGGTCTAGGGGCAACTTCACCTTACAATCACAGTCTTTTGTGGCAAATGAGCCCTCTATGTTTCATAACTGGCTTTAGTGCACTTTGCAGACCTTGAGGTCGTTGGGGTAGTGGTGAGTCCAGGCCAGCAGCATCGCAGCAAACAGGTCCCCTGTCCCCACAAACACAGCGTCCACCTTAGGGATCTCCATACGGACCCGCTGGGTGGACTTGGTACCATCAGGCATCACTGGAGAAGCAAGAAGAGGAAATGTTCCACCAATGACCAATGACTCACAGATGGGACATAAAACCATTACAGTTACATCAATTGCTCATTGTCTTTTCTATTCTTTTGTCACAAAAAATGGCTCAAACGCATTAAGAAGGAAATAAATTCCACAAATTAACTTTTAAGAAGGCACACCTGTTCATTGAAATGCATTCCAGGTGACTACCTCATGAAGCTGGTTGAGAGAATGCCAAGAGTGTGCAAAGCTGTCAAAGGCAAAGGGTGGCTATTTGAAGAATCTCAAATATAAAATATATTTTGATTTGTTTAACACTTTTTTGGTTACTACATGATTCCATATGTGTTATTTCATAGTTTTGATGTCTTCACTATTATTCTACAATGTAGAAAATAGTAAAAAATTAAGAAAAACCCTTGAATGAGTAGCTGTGTCCAAACTTTGGACTGGTACTGTGTGTGTGTGTGTATATATATATATATATATACAGTGGGGGAAAAAAGTATTTAGTCAGCCACCAATTGTGCAAGTTCTCCCACTTAAAAAGATGAGAGAGGCCTGTAATTTTCATCATAGGTACACGTCAACTATGACAGACAAATTGAGAAAAAATAATCCAGAAAATCACATTGTAGGATTTTTAATGAATTTATTTGCAAATTATGGTGGAAAATAAGTATTTGGTCACCTACAAACAAGCAAGATTTCTGGCTCTCACAGACCTGTAACTTCTTCTTTAAGAGGCTCCTCTGTCCTCCACTCGTTACCTGTATTAATGGCACCTGTTTGAACTTGTTATCAGTATAAAAGACACCTGTCCACAACCTCAAACAGTCACACTCCAAACTCCACTATGGCCAAGACCAAAGAGCTGTCAAAGGACACCAGAAACAAAATTGTAGACCTGCACCAGGCTGGGAAGACTGAATCTGCAATAGGTAAGCAGCTTGGTTTGAAGAAATCAACTGTGGGAGCAATTATTAGGAAATGGAAGACATACAAGACCACTGATAATCTCCCTCGATCTGGGGCTCCACGCAATATCTCACCCCGTGGGGTCAAAATGATCACAAGAACGGTGAGCAAAAATCCCAGAACCACACGGGGGGACCTAGTGAATGACCTGCAGAGAGCTGGGACCAAAGTAACAAAGCCTACTATCAGTAACACACTACGCCGCCAGGGACTCAAATCCTGCAGACCCAGACGTGTCCCCCTGCTTAAGCCAGTACATGTCCAGGCCCGTCTGAAGTTTGCTAGAGTGCATTTGGATGATCCAGAAGAGGATTGGGAGAATGTCATATGGTCAGATGAAACCAAAATATAACTTTTTGGTAAAAACTCAACTTGTCGTGTTTGGAGGACAAAGAATGCTGAGTTGCATCCAAAGAACACCATACCTACTGTGAAGCATGGGGGTGGAAACATCATGCTTTGGGGCTGTTTTTCTGCAAAGGGACCAGGACGACTGATCCGTGTAAAGGAAAGAATGAATGGGGCCATGTATCGTGAGATTTTGAGTGAAAACCTCCTTCCATCAGCAAGGGCATTGAAGATGAAACGTGGCTGGGTCTTTCAGCATGACAATGATCCCAAACACGCCGCCCGGGCAACGAAGGAGTGGCTTCGTAAGAAGCATTTCAAGGTCCTGGAGTGGCCTAGCCAGTCTCCAGATCTCAACCCCATAGAAAATCTTTGGAGGGAGTTGAAAGTCCGTGTTGCCCAGCAACAGCCCCAAAACATCACTGATCTAGAGGAGATCTGCATGGAGGAATGGGCCAAAATACCAGCAACAGTGTGTGAAAACCTTGTGAAGACTTACAGAAAACGTTTGACCTGTGTCATTGCCAACAAAGGGTATATAACAAAGTATTGAGAAACTTTTGTTATTGACCAAATACTTATTTTCCACCATAATTTGCAAATAAATTCATAAAAAAATCCTACAATGTGATTTTCGGATTTTTTTTTCTCATTTGGTCTGTCATAGTTCACGTGTACCTATGATGAAAAATTACAGGCCTCTCTCATCTTTTTAAGTGGGAGAACTTGCACAATTGGTGGCTGACTAAATACTTTTTTTCCCCACTGTATATATACACTGCTCAAAAAAAATAAAGGGAACACTTAAACAACACAATGTAACTCCAAGTCAATCACACTTCTGTGAAATCAAAACTGTCCACTTAGGAAGCAACACTGATTGACAATAAATGTCACATGCTGTTCTGCAAATGGAATAGACAAACAGGTGGAAATTATAGGCAATTAGCAAGACACCCCCAATAAAGAAGTGGTTCTTCAGGTGGTGACCACAGAACACTTCTCAGTTCCTATGCTTGCCTGGTTGATGTTTTGGTCACTTTTGAATGCTGGCGGTGCTTTCACTCTAGTGGTAGCATGAGACGGAGTCTACAACCCACACAAATGGCTCAGGTAGTGCAGCTCATCCAGGATGGCACATCAATGCGAGCTGTTGGCAAGAAGGTATGCTGTGTCTGTCAGCATAGTTGTCCAGAGCATGGAGGCGATACCAGGAGACAGGCCAGTACATCAGGAGATGTGGAGGAGGCCGTAGGAGGGCAAAAACCCAGCAGCAGGACCGCTACCTCCGCCTTTGTGGCAAGGAGGAGCAGGAGGAGCACTGCCAGAGCCCTGCAAAATGACCTACCAGCAGGCCACAAATGTGCATTGTGTCTGCTCAAACGGTCAGAAACAGACTCCATGAGGGTGGTATGAGGGCCCGACGTCCACAGGTGGGGGTTGTGCTTACAGCCCAACACCGTTAAGGACGTTTGGCATTTGCCAGAGAACACCAAGATTGGCAAATTCGCCACTGGCGCCCTGTGCTCTTCACAGATGAAAGCAGGTTCACACTGAGCACGTGACAGACGTGTCAGAGTCTGGAGACGCCGTAGAGAACGTTCTGCTGCCTGCAACATCCTCCAGCATGACCGGTTTGCCGGTGGGTCAGTCATGGTGTGGGGTGGCATTTCTTAGGGGGGCCGCACAGCCCTCCATGTGTTCGCCAGAGGTAGCCTGACTGCCATTAGGTACCGAGATGAGATCCTCAGACCATATGCTGGTGCGGTTGGCCCTGGATTCCTCCTAATGCAAGACAATTCTAGACCTCATTGTGTTGTCAGCACATTCAACTATGTAAAGAAAAAAAGTATTTAATAAGATTATTTCATTCATTCAGATCTAGGATGTGTTGTTTAAGTGTTCCCTTTATTTTTTTGAGCAGTGTATATATATATATATATATACACATACACACACACACACACACACACACACATACATACACATATCCTTTAAAAAAATATATTTTCCATTATTACTTTCCAACCCCACCACCCCTCCCCTAATTGGAGTAAACTAGTGAACAACAATTCTTAGGCCTCTACTTCCAGCTTATACATACTATATACACTACCGTTCGAAAGTTTTGGGTCACTTAGAAAAAAACATTGTCCATTAAAATAACATCACATTTATCAGAAATACAGTGCAGACATTGTTAATGTTGTAAATGGCTATTGTAGCTGGAAACAGCTAATTTTAATGGAATATCTACATAGGCGTACAGAGGCCCATTATCAGCAACCATCAGTCCTGTGTTCCAATGGCACGTTGTGTTTGCTAATCCAAGTTTATCATTTTAAAAGGCTGATCATTAGAAAACCCTTTTGCAATTATGTTAGCACTGCTGAAAACTGTTGTGCTGATTAAAGAAGCAATAAAACTGGCATTCTTGACACTAGTTGAGTATCTGGAGTGGGTTGTGGGTTCGATTACAGGCTCAAAATGGCCAGAAACAAATAACTTTCTTCTGAAATTCGTCAGTCTATTCTTGTTCTGAGAAACGAAGGCTATTCCATGCGAGAAATTGCCAAGAAACTGAAGATCTCGTACAACGCTGTGTCCTACTCCCTTCACAGAACAGCGCAAAATGGCTCTAACCAGAATAGAAAGAGGAGTGGGAGGCCCCGGTGCACAACTGAGCAAGAGGACAAATATATTAGTGTCTAGTTTGAGAAACAGACGCCTCACAGGTCCTCTACTGGCAGTTTCATTAAATAGTACCCGCAAAACCAGTCTCAACGTCAACAGTGAAGAGGCGACTCCGGGATGCTGACATTCTAGGCAGAGTTGCAAAGAAAAAGCCATATCTCAGACTGGCCAATAAAAAGAAAAGATTAAGATGGGCAAAAGAACACAGACACTGGACAGAGGAAGATTGGAAAAAAGTGTTATGGACAGACAAATCGAAGTTTGAGGTGTTCGGATCACAAAGAAGAACATTTGTGAGACGCAGACCAAATGAAAAGATGCTGGAGGAGTGCTTGATGCCATCTGTCAAGCATGGTGGAGGCAATGTGATGGTCTGGGGGTGCTTTGGTGGTGGTAAAGTGGGAGATTTGTACAGGGTAAAAGGGATCTTGAAGAAGGAAGGCTATCACTCCATTTTGCAACGCCATGCCATACCCTGTGGACGGCGCTTGATTGGAGCCAATTTCCTCCTACAACAGGTCAATGACCCAAAGCACAGCTCCAAACTATGCAAGAGTTATTTAGGGAAGAAGCAGTCAGCTGGTATTCTGTCTATAATGGAGTGGCCAGCACAGTCACAGGATCTCAACCCTATTGAGCTGTTGTGGGAGCAGCTTGACCGTATGGTACGTAAGAAGTGCCCATCAAGCCAATCCAACTTGTGGGAGGTGCTTCAGGAAGCATGGGGTGAAATCTCTTCAGATTACCTCAACAAATTGACAACTAGAATGCCAAAGGTCTGCAAGGCTGTAATTGCTGCAAATGGAGGATTATTTGATGAAAGCAAAGTTTGAAGGACACAATTATTATTTCAATTAAAAATCATTATTTCTAACCTTGTCAATGACTACATTTCCTATGCATTTTGCTATATTTCCTATTCAAACTCATTTCATGTATGTTTTCATGGAAAACAAGGTCATTTCTAAGTGACCCCAAACCTTTGAACGGTAGTGTACATTTTATGGACACAGTCAATTTTACAATAATTCTATTTTGTTCGTTTTTACTCCTGAACTTCCTCTCCCCTCAACCTCTCCGATCATTTTCATGATGTCCATCCGGTTTGCCTCTACATGCCATATCCCCCAAACTGTGCTCTTTCACAAAAGTTCTCAACCTATATACTTATTATGGACACAGTATATTTTACATTAGTTATTTTGATGTTATTATTTGTTATTAGTCCCAACCTTCAGCTCCATTCAACCCCTCCCATCTATCTCTTAACACCATCCATATTGGATTTCTACTTGCCATATATTTCTCAACTGTACTGTGATGTTTCACAAAAGTTCTGAACCCTTCTATTCTCATTGTTTCTACAGATTGTAAATTGAAAATAATTTTTTCCCTAAAAGCATTATTATATTATTGCTCGATTGACTATGACTTTTCAGATCACCCAGTAGTGCTCTCTTCATGGTTAGCTCCAGGTAAATATTGCAATCCTTCAGCCATTCCTGGACCTGTGACCAAAAACAAGCTACAAATGGACAGTACCAAAACAAGTGATCTAATGATTCTGTCTCTTCGCAGCAAAATCTGCAGAGCTGGGAAGATTGTATCCCCCATATAAATAACATTATATTGGTTGCAAGAATTTTGTTTAATAATTTAAAGTTTTGAATCCGGCGTCGTTTTGCATATCAGTTCATAAACCATTTGCCATGGAATCGGTACGTCACAAATCTCTTCCCAACTATTTTGCAATCTATATGGGACGGTTGTTAATCCTTTGGTCCTTAAATTAAACTGGTATACTTTTTTATTTATCACAATTTTCTTTAACCAATGATGGTCTTTAATTCAGGGCCGACAGACAAGTTCCTTACTTTTTCCCCCTTCCTCTTCCATTTTTGCGGTAATGCTGCAATTATTTGGTTGTAATTTTGGGTAGAGCAGACATTTCCATATGTTTTTGTTAGCTGCATGTGCGACATAACTCCACCAGTTCTACCTATGATATCATTTACGAAAATTATACCTTTTCTTTTCTTTTTTATAAAAACAATGGTTTTTTATCAATTAGTATATTTGTCATTGTCATTGTTAGTTATCCCACTCTTGACCACACACACACACACACTTACACGTCCTCTGGCTGCCCAGGGACACAAGGAAGCGGTCACCCAGACGCGAGGGCAGGTCAGAGCTGGTGATGACCACCGTGTCAGGACCCATCTTATGGAGCAGGTCCATCACCTGGGGAAGGAGGCAGCATCCAGGGGGAAAAGGTCAAAGGTCAACTCCCTGCTACATCTAATGGTGCCACGTCCCTATTCAAAATAAAATACTTTAAAAATGCACCCTTCCGTGCTGAGCCATGGTCGAGTGGGTAACACCCGACTCCCACCCAGCACATATCCATGCCTCCCAGCAGAGACAGGCTTCAATCCCCATCTCCACCCTTCTTGGGAATGCAGATATGCATCTGTTGGTCACAGATACCTTAAAAAAAAGGTAGGGGCGTGGATCAGAAAAACAGTCAGTATCTGGTGTGACCACCATTTGCCTCATGCAGCGCGACACATCTCCTTTGCATAGTGTTGATCAGGCTGTTTATTGTGGCCTGTGGAATGTTGTCCCACTCCTTTTCAATGGCTGTGCGAAGTTGCTGGATATTGGCGGGAACTGGAACACGCTGTTGTACACGTCAATCCAGAGCATCCCAAACATGCTCAATGGGTGACATGTCTGGTGAGAATGCAGGCCATGGAAGAACTGAGACATTGTCAGCTTTCAGGAATTGTGTACAGATTATTGCGACATGGAGCTTGCATTATCATGCTGAAACATGAGGTGATGGCATTCAAATTGCCATCAATAAAATGCAGCTGCAGTCAGGTCAAGACCCTGGTGAGGACGACGAGCACGCAGATGAGCTTCCCTGAGGCGGTTTCTGACAGTTTGTGCAGAAATTCTTCGGTTGTGCAAACCCCGTTTTATCAGCTGTCTGGGGGTCTCAGACAATCCCGCAGGTGAAGAAGCCGAATGTGGAGGTCGTGGGCTGGCGTGGTTACACGTAGTCTGCGGTTGTGAGGTCGGTTGGACAAACTTCCAAATTCTCTAAAACAACGTTGGAGGTAGAGAAATTAACATTCAATTCTCTGGCAACAGCTCTGGTAGACATTCCTGCAGTCAGCATACCAATTGCACGCTCCCTCAAAACTTGAGACATTTGTGGCATTATGTTGTGTGACAAAACTGCACATTTTAGAGTGGCCTTTTATTGTCCCCAGCACATGGTGCACCTGTGTAATGATTATGCTGTTTAATCAGCTTCTTGATATGCCACACCTGTCAGGTGGATGGATTATCTTGGCAAAGGAAAAATCCTCACTAACAGGGATGTAAACAAACTTGTGCACAAAATTTGAGAGAAATAAGCTTTTTGTGCGTATGGAACATTTCTGGGATCTTTTATTTCAGCTCATGAAACATGGGAATAACACTTTACATGTTGCGTTTATATTTTTGTTCAGTGTAATAAAGCATAAAAACATATGGTAGAGTAAAATTCCACTCTCCTTAAATATATATATATTTTTAAATACATCCTTCATTTATTTTTTCCTTGAGGAAATCACAGCTCTGACACGGTAGGATTGTTGAAAACAATTGGGTGGATGCCATCCGCTTACTTACAGATCAGTGAATACCTCAAGGAAGGAAGGATGCATTTTATCAGTATTCAAACATGGCCCATGGATTATGTACAAAGTTCGACATGACTTGAGGACAACATAATATACCTGTTGCATGTTCTATGGTGACTCACCTCCACTGCATCTTTCTCTGTGCTAATGTTCTTCCCTGTCAGCAGCCTGGAGGACAAACACGGGCACATTAATAAAGTCACACACAAACGCACATACTAATTTAACCTTGCCACCAGAGGAGGCTGGTGGGAGGAGCTATAGAAGGATGCGCTCACTGTAATGGCTGGAATGGAATTGATGGAACGGTATCAAACACATCCGTTCCATTCAATCTAGTCCAGCCATTACAATGAGCCCATCCTCCTTTAGCTCCTCCCACCAGCCTCCTCTGCTTGACACTAACGCCACATTCATTGTAAACAGCAACCAACAAACAGTCTAAGCAAGAGTCTGTTTAGTGTTCTACTATAGTGTTCTAGTGGCCATAGTGAGAGACAGTGAGCAATATTTACACTATCATCTCCAAGTTAAACGACTGAGACTATCATTATGCTGCGGTAACACTTCATACACAATGTATATTATTATTATTCATCTGTAATTCCCTGGGTATCCACCAGAGGGACCCTGTGCACCACTAGAACTGGGATTGCAGTGATGAGCGAGGAGGTGGCTTAGAAGTGGGGATGAAAGGAGGGAGGGGAGAAGCAGTGGAGCGCACACAAACCAACACAACACACACAAACCAACACAACACACACAAACCAACACAACACACACAAACCAACACAGCACACACAAACCAACACAGGAAAAATGATGGAAGAATACAGACAAAAAGACAAGCAGACAGACACAGAGAGGAGTGACTGGGTATCAAGAACCATCCACTCAGTGTAGCAGCCATCTTACTGACACGCTACACACCATACATAGGCCTTTAGTATATCTGTATAAGATTTCATAGGATATTGAGTAAAATTACATCAATGTAGCTGATTAGGATGTGGATGAAGCTTAGTGATAGTGATAGTAACAGATACGATACAGTCCCTGTGGTGATTTAACTCTCTGTCTCAAATACACACACACACACACACACACACCAGCTGTATAGGTTCACTATTACTCACTCTGCTTCAAACTGATTGGGTGTGATGATGTCGGCCACTGGCACCACCTTGTTCTTGTAGACCGGGTGCAGGTTCTCTGGAACGTACTGGAGACAGAAAGAAACACATCAGTACCGGTGAGCAGCCACGCACACACACACACACAGGGTGCATCTCAATAGTCTGAAGTGGCTTCCTCTCCTCGTTGGCCCTTCTTTATCTACACCGAGCTGAAATTGCTGCCTAGCTCAGATCAGAGCAGACTAAGGAAAGGGGACGAGGAAAGGAAGCAACTTTAGACTACTGAGATGCATAACAAGGAAAGGATGAATGCATTGAGTGAATCAGAATGATGACCACATCTTGTCCAAACAAACAATTTTACACACCATTTTTCTCAATGTCACTATATACATCAACACACATTATGCATATATGCCCTTGTGCTCTCTCTACCTATCAAACACACACACAAATACTGGTGTACGCACACACACACACACACACACTGTAACACGTACGCACGCACAGTGAGTCACAATCGAGCAAATTATTCTGCATAATTCTCTCTGTACAAACAGCGAGGGCAGCTCATGCTAATTTCATCTGTCACGGTGAAATGAGATGTGGTCTATCATTCCCCAATCCACACTCCTCAACACGCACACACACGTCACATACACACCTTGATGCAACAATGACATCATGTCGACTGACCCCTGATGCTCAGCCCATAAACGTAAAGAAGAGATTACAGTAAGAGAGGGGGAGCGAGATAGAGAGACAGGGACAGGGAGAGACACAGGGAGAGACGGACAGAGAAAGGACAAGGGATAGCAGAAAGTGAAAATGGGGGTCTAAGGCCGCGGCCACATTGCGATTTTGTGTCTGAAAAATTTGCCAGTGGTTTTTCAATGGGAGTCAATGGACAATGGATATGATTTTCCATCAAAGAAAATGCTCAATATGCCTTTTTTCATATGCAGCTCGTCCGAAAATAGTTCACTTGAATTTAACTTTTGCCAGACAGACAAACACTGACAATAGATGAATGCATAAACGATTTCCATTTATGTGTCTCAGTGTGGCTGCAGCCTTAGACTTAACTCATTGGTCAGGTAAAGCTGAAGGTCAGTGTTGCCCCATTGAATGAGATTGAGCAGGACAGGAGTAGTGACATCACTTACTACTACCATCTGATCCCTCATTAAACGCACAGTACTCTCATGGCCTGGATTGTGTAGGATACATACCTACCACTGTCAGTGTGGGTTCAAATCCGACCCAGTGTCTATGATGAACTCTCTTCCAATCTTTCCCACTATTAACTTTTCATGATCTCTTCTGCTCTGTTCAATAAAACATACAAAATACAGGCAGACAAACATAAAGTACTCACCATGGAGCCATGGTCCCCTAGCACAGGGTCACACACTGAAAAGGCAAACGAGAACACACTCAATCTCTAACACAGATCTCTCAGGTTTCATCTGTCACTGTGGTCCTCTGTAGCTCAGCTAGTAGAGCACGGCGCTTGTAACGCCAGGGTAGTGGGTTCGAACCCCGGGACCACCCATACACAAAAATGTATGCACGCATGACTGTAAGTCGCTCTGGATAAAAGCGTCTGCTAAATGGCATATTATATTATATTATTTCACACAGACATTACAGATGTTCTATATCGATGTTAAGCTGACCCAAGATGTCTTATGATTATGTTAATCGTCAGCTAATTACAGCAAACACCTGGGTCGTATTCACTAAACACCAAACGGAAAATAACAGGATGAAATGAGGATGGACTACATGAACAAAGAAATGCTTGTTTTCTTTTTTCCGTTGCAAAATGTTTTGCTATGTTGAGCACTAATGAATATGACACTGCCTTCGGAACAGACAGTAAACATGCGCTACAGCAGTTTTATTCATCCTGCTCCTTCATGTTGTTCAACTAATTTCCATGGAAATGCACGGGCGTTATTAAATTATGTCAACTTTAATCTTAGTTAGCAGCTTAATTGAGAATTATTTACTTGGAACTCACTGATAGACACAACTGTCCTGTCAGCGCTTTTTCTAAATGCAGTAAGGGCTTAAGGCTTCCGCATACATATGTTCAGTTTGCTTCTAGGATATCTCGGCTAGGCGAAACGAACGTCTGTGCTCGCATACTCCCTAAAGACATTTGCTTGAAAAAAGGGGGAAAAAGCAGCAATATTACTGTTGTTTGTCCCTAGTGAGCCACCATAGCAACAACATACCCAGTTACTCTTCCTCAAAATAGGCAGAATTAATTTAAAATATAGTGCATTCGGAAAGTATTCAGACCCCTTCCCTTTTTCTACATTTTGTTAAGTTATAGCCTTATTCTAAAATTGATTAATTAAATATTTATCCTCATCAATCTACACACAATACCCCATAATGACAAAGCGAAAACAAGTTTTTAGAAATGTTTGCTAATTTATTTAAAATAATACCTTATTTACATAAGTATTCAGACCCTTTGCTATGAGACTCGTAATTGAGCTCAGGTGCATCCTGTTTCCATTGACCATCCTTGAGATGTTTCTACAACTTGATTGGAGTCAACCTGTGGTAAATTCAATTGATTGGACATGATTTGGGAAGGCACACACCTGTCTATATAAAGGTCTCACAGTTGACAATGCATGTCAGAGCAAAAACCAAGCCATGAGGTCGAAGGAATTGTCCGTACAGCTCCGAGACAGGATTGTATCGAGGCACAGTTCTGGGGAAGGGTACAAAAAAAAATTCTGCAGCATTGAAGGTCCCCAAGAACACAGTGGCCTCCATCATTCTTAAATGGAAGAAGTTTGGAACCACCAAGACTCTTCCTAGAGCTGGCCGCCCGGCCAAACTGAGCAATCGAGGGAGAAGGGCCTTGGTCAGGGAGGTGACCAAGAACCCAATGGTCACTCCAGAGTTCCTCTGTGGAGATGGGAGAACCTTCCAGAAGAACAACCATCTCTGCAGCACTCCACCAATCAGGCCTTTATGGTAGAGTGGCCAGATGGAAGCCACTCCTCAGTAAAAGGCACATGACAGCCCACTTGAAGTTTGCCAAAAGGCACCTAAAGGACTCTCAGACCATGAGAAACAAGATTCTCTGGTCTGATGAAACCAAGATTGAACTCTTTGGCCTGAATGCCAAGCATCACGTCTGGAGGAAACCTGGCACCATCCCTACGGTGAAGCATGGTGGTGGCAGCATCATGCTGTGGGGATGTTTTTCAGCGGCCGGGACTGGGAGACTAGTCAGGATCGAGGGAAAGATGAACAGAGCAAAGTACAGAGAGATCCTTGATGAAAACCTGCTCCAGAGCACTCAGGACCTCAGACTGGGGCAAAGGTTCACCTTCCAACAGGAAAACGACCCTAAGCACACAGCCAAGACAATGCAGGAGTGGCTTCGGGACAAGTCTCTGAATGTCCTTGAGTGGCCCAGCCAGAGCCCGGACTTGAACCCAATCGAACATCTCTGGAGAGACCTGAAAATAGCTGTGCAGTGACGCTCCCCATCCACCCTGACAGAGCTTGAGAGGATCTGCAGAGAAGAATGGGAGAAACTCCCCAAATACAGGTGTTCCAGGCTTGTAGCGTCATACCCAAGAAGACTCAAGGCTGTAATCGCTGCCAAAGGTGCTTCAACAAAGTACTGAGTAAATGGTCTGAATACTTACGTAAATGTGATTTCAGTTTTTTTATTTTAATACATTTGCAAACATTTCTAAAAACCTGTTTTTGCTTTGTCATTATGGAGTATTGTGTGTAGATTGATGAGAAAAAAAACTATTTAATTCATTTTAGAATAAGGCTATAACGTAACAAAATTTAGAAAAGGTCAAGGGGTCTGAATAGTTTCCGAATGCACTGTAAATCAAGGTATGTCATTAATTTTGACGTTTTTGCAGAGGAAGTGTTAGTCACGCAATTTTACATCTGACTAAGATGTTTGGTGCAGTATTTCTCATGTTACATTTTTTTCATGAGAACTAGTCGTCTCTTGTTGAATGACAACACTTCATGTTCCCACTCCTACTAGGAGTAGTACTGTTGACCAATCACCGACGAAGGGGCATAGACTTCGGTTACCGAACTTCGTTTTGCCTCAAGAAAAAATATTGTGTGCACAAACATCCGAAAAAAAACCTGCGGAAGACCAAAACAAACGTCATAATATATGCATGAACTGTTTAGACTGGGAAGCGTACGGTAAGCTTTATTCCACACCAAGCTTGTCATTACCTTGAAACCCTGATGAAGGCAGCTTAGCTGTCGAATAGCAGGTTATATTAAATGTATTGCTTCGGAGCCATAAGAGTGTGCGGCTGTTCTTTTCTTTGCTACGTGTCCTTACGCTTCTACCAACCCTAACCTGAAGATGATGATACAATAGCTATGGCCAGGAGTTTTTCCAGACCAGTTCTCCCTGGTCTGGTCAGGTGGTCAGGAAAAACTCTTGGCCCTAACAATAACCCATACTGGCATATTGAACTTCTGATCAGCAGTGGTCGAACCCCACCCTGTTGATTTGAACAGATGTGTAAGACACACACACACACACACACACACACACACACGCACACATAGGGGTGACATAGCAAGGGATACACACCATACACAAGGTTAGGATTGGCCCTCTTCAGCTCCTGTACGATGTCCACAACCATCTCCAGAAAGGAAGTGTCTCGAGTGTACCCTGAGGGGAGATTCTGGGTCAAAACAAACTCCTCAATGTCTCAATAAAGTTTTATACAGTACACTGCAGACAAAACTAACCCCTCACCCAGGGCTCTAATGAGAGGATAGGGGATCATGGTGTAACAGTAAGTGTGTCAGTGCTTTCTCAGAGTGGACACATGCCTGAGAAGCTAATTGTATTTGCATAGAGGCAGGTGGAGGCTTTTCTGCAGTGTGTGTGTGTGTGAGCAGGACCTGCTGACGCTGCAGTGCTGGCTGTACGTACAGTAGGTAGGAGATAAGGGCCAGAAGAGAGGAGGACAGAGAGGGAGATGATTCAATGGGAATGCTGATGTAAGGCTTGTATGTGTGTGTGTGTGTGTGTGCCTCACTTTTGTGCTCGGCCACCAGGCTCTCAGTGAGGGAAAGCCCATGTCCTCATTGTTGATTTCAACACACAGGGGCTAACTGTCTCAACACCAATTTCCTTCCTAGCCCCTAACACTAGATGTTTGCCGATCTGAAGGGTCTGGATAGGTATGAGTGTAAATAACGTCACACTGCTTGCTTACCGACTACCACTTCCTCCTAATTTGGCTCATCCCGAGGGCTCGAACCCAGGACCTCTGCCTTGCAAACAATACGTGACCACCCTCCTGAAGCGTCTTACCAGTCGTGCCACAGAAAAGCTAGCTATTTGGCTGAGCAAGTGGGTACACTTCAGGCTAAGGAGTGAGTTTCACACATCCCCATGTGCTACATGAGCAGTGTATTAGTGTATATTTCAGACATTTTTCAGATCTGTAAACTAGGAAGATTTAGGGCCACAGGAAGAGTTGGGAATAGGGAGTAAATGGGTATGGCTAGATCCTAACTCAAACTCCACTTATTCAGGTTAAGTCCACTTATTCCATGATACACACAGTGTACTTCATGCCATGTATCTGACCACAGATACATCTGTAAGTCCCATTTGTAAGCTATGTTTCTTACAGATAAAGTTTCAACTGACAAACGCTGTCTGTCTCACACGCTAATAGTGTTGGTCACTCCTAAGAGTTTATTCAAGGTGAACCTCTTAATTGTTGGTGATATACAGTATGTAGCCTAACTGATGTTTTTAGCTGTACTCACCTCCTGTATCCATGATACAGTGGGGGAAAAAAGTATTTAGTCAGCCACCAATTGTGCAAGTTCTCCCACTTAAAAAGATGAGAGAGGCCTGTAATTTTCATCATAGGTACACGTCAACTATGACAGACAAAATTAGAATTTTTTTCTCCAGAAAATCACATTGTAGGATTTTTAATGAATTTATTTGCAAATTATGGTGGAAAATAAGTATTTGGTCAATAACAAAAGTTTCTCAATACTTTGTTATATACCCTTTGTTGGCAATGACACAGGTCAAATGTTTTCGGTAAGTCTTCACAAGGTTTTCACACACTGTTGCTGGTATTTTGGCCCATTCCTCCATGCAGATCTCCTCTAGAGCAGTGATGTTTTGGGGCTGTCGCTGGGCAACACGGACTTTCAACTCCCTCCAAAGATTTTCTATGGGGTTGAGATCTGGAGACTGGCTAGGCCACTCCAGGACCTTGAAATGCTTCTTACGAAGCCACTCCTTCGTTGCCCGGGCGATGTGTTTGGGATCATTGTCATGCTGAAAGACCCAGCCACGTTTCATCTTCAATGCCCTTGCTGATGGAAGGAGGTTTTCACTCAAAATCTCACGATACATGGCCCCATTCATTCTTTCCTTTACACGGATCAGTCGTCCTGGTCCCTTTGCAGAAAAACATCCCCAAAGCATGATGTTTCCACCCCCATGCTTCACAGTAGGTATGGTGTTCTTTGGATGCAACTCAGCATTCTTTGTCCTCCAAACACGACGAGTTGAGTTTTTACCAAAAAGTTCTATTTTGGTTTCATCTGACCATATGACATTCTCCCAATCCTCTTCTGGATCATCCAAATGCACTCTAGCAAACTTCAGACGGGCCTGGACATGTACTGGCTTAAGCAGGGGGACACGTCTGGCACTGCAGGATTTGAGTCCCTGGCGGCGTAGTGTGTTACTGATGGTAGGCTTTGTTACTTTGGTCCCAGCTCTCTGCAGGTCATTCACTAGGTCCCCCCGTGTGGTTCTGGGATTTTTGCTCACCGTTCTTGTGATCATTTTGACCCCACGGGGTGAGATCTTGCGTGGAGCCCCAGATCGAGGGAGATTATCAGTGGTCTTGTATGTCTTCCATTTCCTAATAATTGCTCCCACAGTTGATTTCTTCAAACCAAGCTGCTTACCTATTGCAGATTCAGTCTTCCCAGCCTGGTGCAGGTCTACAATTTTGTTTCTGGTGTCCTTTGACAGCTCTTTGGTCTTGGCCATAGTGGAGTTTGGAGTGTGACTGTTTGAGGTTGTGGACAGGTGTCTTTTATACTGATACAAGTTCAAACAGGTGCCATTAATACAGGTAACGAGTGGAGGACAGAGGAGCCTCTTAAAGAAGAAGTTACAGGTCTGTGAGAGCCAGAAATCTTGCTTGTTTGTAGGTGACCAAATACTTATTTTCCACCATCAATTTGCAAATAAATTCATTAAAAATCCTACAATGTGATTTTCTGGATTTTTTAAAATCAATTTGTCTGTCATAGTTGACGTGTACCTATGATGAAAATTACAGGCCTCTCTCATCTTTTTAAGTGGGAGAACTTGCACAATTGGTGGCTGACTAAATACTTTTTTCCCCCACTGTATCTACTCTAGTGTGTCCGTAACAATTACTTCCAAATGTCTAGCAGTCTGAAAGAGCTGACCAACCAATAGTCTGCTTACTAGAATGTAGCAACACATTCCAGTTTGGCTACATTTCACACCTCGACAGATTCTCAAGGACTCGGAGAGAATAAAACCATGACCTTCACTCTCTCCTCTCCTCTTCTCTCCCTTATTTTCTGCTACCTCTTTCTCTCTCCCTCTCTCTTCTCCTCTCCCTCTCAAGGTGATAGGAGAGGAGACGTAATCCATCAGGGAGTGCCAGCGTTTCTGTTCCGTCTCTCTCTCTCTGGGCCAGGGCTAGCAGAGCACGACGGCTACCACAGAACAGTGGCGAACATCTGACAGCCTGACTGACATTAGGTTCTGTAAACCCAGCAGCCGATACCATCTCTGTCTGGGTGACCTCATGAGGATCATGTCCATCTACTGCTTCCTGTGTTCTCCCTGTAAAGCTACAGAGGGAGCTGAGGACTGACGAGAACATCTGTCTGAAGGCTTGACCAGAAGCAGGCACTCTTTGAAGCTATTGACTTAGCTAGCTGCTCTCTATAAAATGTTTCTTCAGCTAGCTAACTGTTATGTCCTTTTTTTCTTGTTTATTTTTGGTCTGTATACTGCAATTCAGCTTTTAGCAGCGAATGTGTACAAGATAGCCTAACCAATCATAAATAAATACTTGATATAAACTAACAACCATCCACAGTCTGCTAGCACAGCTACCGCTAGCCTTCACTTCTTTCTGTGTGTGCGTCTCACCTGTGAGAACATAGTCGTAGTGGTGGACATTGTTGAGCTTGATCCCCTCGTAGAGGACATGCAGCTCGTCAGCGGTCAGTACCTGGCCTTTCCAGTGGGAGTAGCCTAGAAACAGAGGTCAGGGGTTAGAGGTGAGGGGTCAGGGAGACAACATGACAATCTCCACAACAGAGTGGCAACACTTCCCCTGTAATGGATTTAACAATTGTGAAAACTCCCTCCACCAATGCTTTTAAATCTATGATGGGACTGTCCCAGTGCAACTTTGGGGAAAGTGTGGAGAATCAGGATGGAATCAGAGCAACTGACAGTTCACAACATAAGCTAGTATCTTCATTAATTTCTATGGTTCAAATTATGAAAACAACAGTTAACAGTGCTGATGTCTTTTCTACACAGAGGAGGCCTAGAGAAGCCCCCAGCCACAGTGAGGTAGCTTCCCAGGAAGGGGGATGGGACAGGGGGAATGTTTGTTCCGTCAGCTCCCTCAAATGCAAAAAACAAATGTGCGGGTCTGTGGGGGCAACCAGCATTTTGTCAGAGACCAGTGTCGCTGCCGCAGGAGTTGTGATGTCACACTTCAGGTGAGTCACCCAGCAGATCACATGGTGTGGTTCTGGTTGCCTAGTAACAGGCAAGAAGAAAGCCTGAGGGGCTGAGAGCAATAAAGAGTTGCCGCTGCTCGTCTGTGTGTGTGTGTGTGTGTGTATGTGTGTGAGATAGAGGGGGAGGGAGCAAAGGAAGGAGAGAAATCTTTGTGATAAGGGCTGGCTCTGTCGTCATCATTTTCTGCTGTCGCAATTGCATGCTCGGAAGAGCATTTTCAGCTCGTCACAATCCAAGACACACACACATACACAAACACACGCACACACACACACGTTTTCTTCAGCACGTGCAGAGTGAAGAGAGACAGAGATAGACGCTGCGTATCCTTCCCCACTGGGAAGATAACCGCCACTGCGTTTTGAGCTGAATCTACCCATCAGGCCCTGCTTCTCTTTGCCCCCCTAAAGCTAACACAGAGAGACACTTGCACACACACACAGCAAAAAGACTGTTCTTTAAAACCTTATAAGAATACTATTTGGCAAGGGAAAAGACAAATGTTACATCCCAAATGGTACCCATTCCCAATATAGTGCACTACTTTTGACCAGAGCCCTATTGCCACTATAGGGAATAGGGTGCCATTTGGTACACAACCAGAGATAAAACTGCAGTAGCTAGCCTAAGTTATTGACATAATTCAAGTCTGAATCATCCTCATTGCAGTAATGTTTGATGTGTGATGAGCGGAGTGACCCTTATGACTGGAGCAGGGTTTTGGCCTCCATTGCTATGATGCTCCAGAATCTAAATGATGTCTGATGTTCCACACATCTTCAGTAACTCAATTAACTGGGTGTGATTGTGTGCTTATGAGAAAACTACTACTGAGTTAGTAGATACAGTAATGGTCCAATCGATATGGCATGTTCCTGTCTGGAAAGAAACAACAGTAAAAACCTGGAACAATGGGCACCCTTAAGAAGTGGTAAAGAGGTGGCATTCTCTCATCCTTAGCCAAAATGGAACTGCTTACAAAGGATAAGTCTGAGCCAAGCCTTTTCATGAAGACATTTCCATTAACCCAGTGCAGGGACATAAGAATGGCATCTAACAACAAAAACAACCCGAGGAATGAGTCTGATTTAGGTGGCAACAGATGGATCATTCATGAGCGATGTGTATGGGGTCTTTTAATCATTATGCACTTTTTGGGCATCATGATGTCCCAATAAATCTGTATTTTCTATTTTATTTGTATCTTTATTTTGACAGAGAGTCATGCTGAGACCAAGGTCTCTTTTACAGATGAGCCTTGTATCAAATACACATCAATATAAACCAATACACAAAAAGCAAATGCAATCATTGAAAACAAACACATTCTTCAGTAAAACGGTCCTTAATTAGCCGCCTGAATTGCCCTAGAGCAGGGCTGTCCAACCCTCTTCCTGGAGATCTACCGTCCTTTGGGTTTCCAGTCCAACCCTAATTTAACACATCTGATTCTACTTATTAGCTGCTCAACAAGACCTTAACTAGCTGAATCAGATATGCTAAATTAGGGTTGGACTGAAAACCTACAGGACAGCAGATCTCCAGGAAGAGGGTTGGGCAGCCCTGCCCTAGAGCACCAACTCTTTATTTTTTGGTGCATTCAAAATAACTGAAACCTGAACTTAATAACAAACGTAAAGCTTAAATCACTCAGAGCACGTGTCAAACTCCTTCCACGGAGGGCCGAGTGTCTGCAGGTTTTCGCTCTTCTCTTGTTGATGAATTAAGGTCACTGATTAGTAAGGAACTCCCCTCACCTGGTTGTCTAAGTCTTCCCCTGACTCAGAGGAATCATGTAAACTTCAGAACTTAAAGCGGATTTAAACACGGCTGATTTGTACTGTTGGACTGTATGCAGTCGGTTAGGTGTGAACGCTGTATCAAAGCAAATGGGGGACGTTTACCCAATTACCCAGAAGCTGTGGGAGCGTGGGGAGGCTGAGAGGACACAGAGTTGTGTGATAAGTGGACAGAGAAGGCTATGGGACTAGCATATAGCATGGTGAGGGCTGAGTGGCCAGGGATTAGCTTGGCCCCAAGCCCAGAGAGGAAACCTCTAATAAGGGTGACGATAGCAGGACCATGCCTCCTCAGCTTGGGCCCAAGCCCAGAGAGGAAACCTCTAATAAGGGTGACGATAGCAGGACCATGCCTCCTCTTGTTGAACAGTACAGACCCTTCTAGATAAATTTGTACTTTAATTTAACCAGGAAAGATCTTTGAGGTTAAAAACCTCTTTCGCAAGGGCGACCTGGCACATTCAGGTGGATGAGGTCAGCACAGCCAAGCTGGCTCTTTGACACAGTTGTGCTCTCCAGGACATCTGTCCATGAATGAACACTTAGCAAGAACACCAGCGGGCATACGAGGCTGGCCGATTCATATGTTGACTGACGCAGTGCAATAGATAGGGTCATTCCTCAAACCTACGTCAGATACACACAGTTTACGTTTCCCTCTGCTCTCTTTCAATCTCCCTCACAATCACTCACTTCCTCTCACACACGCTGCTCATCAGGGTCTGGCAGGCATCCGTGGTTTTCCAGATGGAGCGACAGATGAAGTGAGAGACGGAAACCGAGAGGAGCCTGACAGTGGTGTGATCTCAATTAGCAATGTTTCTTTCACAGACGCACACGGACGTGCGCACACACAAACACACTGGTGTCTACTATGTAATTCACCTTCAGCCCGAAGACCAACAGCCCCCTCCCATCCTCACTTAGGAGACCCTGTACAACTACTGAACTAGTCTATAACTGTGTCCACAACCCCAAAACATTTGGCACAATTGTTACACATTAGCTCTAGCGTCATCCAATGCATTCTGCTGTCACTATTGATATCACAACAGAGCTGGAGTCCCTCTGATGATTTCCTCTGTGGTGGATGTGATGGGCTCATGGGGCCACCGGCCGGTGACTCGTGTGGCAATGAGGCGTGAACAGGCAGCGAAATGATTGGGCAGTGATTGGCGGTGCCTGGAGGTTGCATAAAAAATGACGCCCTATTCCCTACATAGTGCACTACTGTTGACCAGAGCCCTATAATGCCTTGTCAAAAGAAAAAATAGGGGTCCATGGTTTGGGACACAGCCTGATAGTCTTCAGAGAATCCCTGGATATCTGAGAGAGATTACTGTGAGTCTGACTGCTAATCTCTGGCCCCATAGCTATGGGACTCAGCCGGGTCTCTATGACTCTGTGTCAGGGTGTCCCTTCAAAACTGGGCTCCTGTAACAAGGGTGGTTCAGAGAACCTTGCTTGCATGTTGATGAGTAACCTTTCCTGAGACTAAGCAGGCTAACACAGTCTTATGGCATACAAGAGACCCGGGTTCAAACCACAGTTGGTCACATTGGTGCTGTAACCTGGATGGGTTTATGTAAGGCGCAGGAGGAGGTCAAAGGGGAGTAAAGTGTAAAGGAGGTGGTTCATGTAAGCCACGCTTGCATCATGAGTAACCTTGTCTGAGACCTGACGATTTGTGTAGGCTTAGTGGGCTAACACAGTTTTGTAGGGCACAGAAGACCCAGGTTTGAACCCTGTTGGGAACACTTCTCAATGGACGACCCAAGACACACCAGTGGCACTGAAGATGGCCACAAACATGTTCTTTAATTTAGTAACTCAAAGGCATAATAAGCAGGGCAGGTGTGTGCGTGAGAGAGAGAGTGTAGGAGAGAGTCAATGATGAGTGAGAGTCACTAAGTGCAGTAGCCTATACTGTAGTGTGGCTCAACAGCGGCCTCTTGTTTTGCCATCGTTTCCATTTCTCTCAGACCACCTGCACTGTCTCCGTGTAGGCCAGGGTTCTTCAATTCCGGTCCTGGAGGGCCGAAACATCTCTGTTTTTCATCCTCTCCTTCTAATCAGGGGCTAATTCAGATCTGGGACACCAGGTGAGTGCAATTAACTACCAGGTAGAAATAAAAAACAGAAGTGTTTCGGCCCTCCAGGACCGGAATTGAAGAACCCTGGTGTAGGCTATCTCCCAGTCAGACCCCATGTAGAGCAAATTACAATCCTGAGACTGACTGTGTCCTGAACTGGCCCTGACAGATAATTAATCTCCTCCACTTAAGAGAGGTCAAATTGTACATTACAACCAGTGACATTTTGTTCCACCCAAGAATTTGTCTGATAACGTGACACAATGAGGAATATGACACAAAACCCATATCTTTTCATCACACGTTTCCTGACGTGAGCCTGATCAACAGCTCCACTTTCAAGGTGGAAGAGATTTTGTTTCGTGTGATAAAGGTTGATTGCAGTCATAGTGAAAATATAATGGTATGTTAGGAGGTAGGTAGCTTTAGGGTACATCAAAATTATTAGCATACCCAAAATATGCCAAGATCTTTCAGCAATGATAGTAACGGTACCAAAGACATTGTTCTCTCAAAAATGTTAAATAATTTCCTATCAGGAAGGTTTAAAAATATACAAGACAGCTACACATTGTACTTCTAAATTCCATTTCAATTCCAGGCAATTCAGAAAGTACACCAAATTCCAATTCCAAATTTTCTTCATTGAAGAGAATTGGAATTTCAGTGTACTTCCTGAATTGAATGAAATATAAATAGAATTGACCCCAACCCTGCTGTACATTATATGTACCTGTATGATTGGAGAACTGTACCGAGTTGATTGAATCCACCTCAAACCCCAGCACCTGTGGAAGAGACAGACAGAGCATTAGTCAAAGCATTGGGCTGGAGAAGCACAATGTGGGTAGCACAGGAGGTTGGTGGCACCTTAATTGGGGAGGACGGACTTGTGGTAATGGCTGGAGCAGAATCGGTGGAATGGTATCAAATACATGGTTTCCATGTGTTTGATGCCATTCCATTTGAACCGTTCCAGGCTTTATTATGAGCCGTCCTCCCCTCAGCAGCCTCCACTGGTGGGTAGCTAATCACCTAGGCCCCTCAAACTCAAATCTGGACCTCAAAGCCAGTTCCACTGCTTTTTTTCCATTGTTCCCTTCTAATCAGGGACTGATTAGACCTGGGACACCAGGTGGGTGCAATTAATTATCAGGTAGAACAGAAAACCAGCAGGCTCTGGACCTCGTAGGGTAAGAGTTGAATACCCCTGATCTAGGCTATACAAAGGGCCAGATTTAGAGATTTGGTGGTCTGTTTCAAAATGCCATGACTTGACCTTTCTATAAATAGAAGGCAGCGGTTTTGATTTAGAGTACCCACACTATTGGATTTCACTTACATGACTTCACATGCAACAGATTGATGTAACCAATTGAAACAGGAGGTAAATAATTTGATTGAATTGTTTTGGCCTCAGGGTTTAATCAAGATAATTATATTAAAAGCTCCTGGCTCCTCTTTAGTGACGTCAGTCAGAGGAATATACGCTAAATACGTCAGTCATTCATGCAGAATCTCTCTGCTGTCTTTCTTGACTGATAAAACAGCAGAAACAGAGGATTCCCAGCTAATTGAAATGCCTATACGCTCGTCATCTATGACGGACTTGTCCATGTGGATGACAAACAACGCTGTTCGGGGAAATAATGACCACCATGGTACAGTATGAAAAATGTATGCCCTCACTAACTGTAAGTCGCTCTGGATAAGAGCGTCTGCTAAATGACTAAAAATGTAAAATACCCAAATCACAGTAGCGTCTGTGTTGAGGAGGATGAGAGAATGGTGATGTCATGATGGTATTGATTATGAGGAGGATGAACGGATGACACACGGACCCTATTGATGAGATTGCATTGCTGCAAGAGTAAAATCCGAATGTTCTGCACGAATGTCACACACGTCCATACTACAGTGTTGTGCATAATCCGACAGGCACGATCATGGAACGAATATTCTCGCCATTTATCACTGCTGATAACAATATGTCTGATGATTGTTACATGTAAAATTCACTATCATCTCTATTTATTGAGTGTTCAGGGATTGTCATCAATATTGCCAGCGCCAAAAGGGTATTTGCCATGTGACCTTTTGCTACCTGCACGCGCGCACAATTGCCTCTAGTAAATAAATAGCATGAAATACTGTTACATTAGCTCATCAAAACATTGTATCAGAATATAATAGATTCCTACCTGTAACGGAAATGATGCCGATTTATTGCCAACATATCCCCTGACAACATGACTCTGAATTGACAATACTCTGCATTCCATTTCGTGCATAAAGTTATAATAAAACACGCTACACAATCCGCGCAAAACAAACGCAGGTTTTGTGTTCAGGGCTGCACGTTAAGCAGCGGTCCTGAGTCCACAATCCAAGGTGTTTTCAGTGAGGGTAAAAGCAGAATCCAGCCACTAAACTGAAGGACATGGAACCCACACAGAAACGCTCATTGACGAGACATATCATTATTCTTCAGGCATTCGTGACGGGCACCTAAATCCACTGACATCACAAGCGCAAAAATGGAACGGACGTGACAGCAATATTGTGAAATAGAAACAATTGTGTTGCTTATATGCAAACCACCCGTAGTTCCTTTACGATGTTATCGATGAATTTCAAGGGCAGGTGTTGTGCGCACACAAGAAACAGTGGGCTAATTCGAATGAACTGAATGATTTTTTATGTAGTTGGAGCCCAACATTTGGAGCCAGGGATTTTGTTACTATAGAAGTCTTCATGGGAGCAAAGAACCCTGTCTAAAAGGACTGTAATGGGAGCAAGTACAGCGAGGATACTAGACATTTCTTTGGAGCAAAAGGCAGTGTAGAATCGGGTTGAGGGGTCCTTCATTATGATACACTTTATGGTCAGTGCTATCTGGGATCCTTGGGATGTCCCTACCCCATAGCCGTGTGAAGTAGGGGTGCTGAGGATGCTGCAGCACCCCCTGAAAAATCTGAATTAAAAATAAAATGAATATGAATAAAAAAAAGTAGTGCGCTGGGCCTTTACTAGTCCGGTATTAGCGGACCAATATAACATAGATGTCTGTAGCACGGCGTGGGCAAAACTATTTTTTCAGCATTGCTGCTTTGGCAATTAAGAACATTATCTTGCAGGATTCAATAGTTTAGAATTGTAAGAGTTGTTGCCCTGTCCCTTTCTCTGTGATCATCATTATAATGGGGCGGCAGGTAGCTTAGTGGTTAGGAGCGTAGCCGACTAGGTAAAAAATCTGTAGATGTGCCCTTGAGCAAGGCAATTAACACGAATTGCTCCTGTAAGTCGCTCTGGATAAGAATGTCTGCTAAATGACTAAAATATACATGTAAAATGAATCCAGAAAGAACAAAACCCTGTCCTCAAACATTTACATCAAAAGGTGCAAAGTTATGGGCAAAGACCCAAAACATCCCCACATCAAATTAAATATTTTTCTTGATCAAATAACATGGAAAACACCACTTTTTGTGCAGTATTAATTTACCATCCTTACAAACCACTTAATGTAAATGTACATTACTGAATTGTACATAGGCTGGTCATCTAGGTTTGTCCCCTGTAGACTCTATCACCATCAGGAAAAACAATGCACAATGTAATTGAGTACATTGAGACATCAAGTGGTTTATGATGATGTGGCTCAGTTGGTAGCGCATGGTGCTTGCAACGCTAGGGTTGCGGGTTCAATTCCCACGAGGGACCAGTAAGAAAATGTATGCACTCACTACTGTAAGTTGCTCTGGATAAGAGTGTCTACTAAAATGTCAAAGGAATGAATAGACCATTTCAGTTTTCACATAGAAATAAGTTACATTTGCAAAGTATTTCAAGAAACCGGAAAACATATATCAAACAATTATTTGTATCTTCCACAAGTATTATCAGATTAACTGTTTTGTACAGATAATTATCAGACTCAAGTTACAAATGCTTGTAAACACTCAAATACAAATACAATGAGTTGTAATCTTTTCACAAAAGTAGTGCACTGGGCCTAGGGACGTCCCAAGAATCCTGGTTAGCACAGATCTATACTTTATTGGCCATTTACATGAAAAGGCATTTCGTGATGTCAGCATAAAAATACACAAACACAACACAATATATTACATGCAGCACGGAGAACTGGAAAGTTAGTACACAAGTCACACATTTAGGCTACATTTTCACATATTCAAAGTCTGTGGCTTACTGTCTGACCATGTATTGGGCCTGCATCATCCTATGTCCCACTGTTCATGGCTGATGGAATGAAACTTGCCTTGCTGAACAGTGGGACCCCCCTGGAGGGCAGCAGCTCAAAACATTGGGATTGTGTGTGGGGTCCTCTATGATGTGTGCTTGGCCTTGTCCCTTGCCGGCTTATCATAGAGGCCCTGACACCCCCTGCACTGTAGCACGCAGAGCTTGGACCCCAGGTAATCTTTGTCGCGTTGTGAACATCCTCTATTAGAAATAGTAGGGGAGATGGTGCAAATGAATGGGCTGTCTGAATGGTCACGCATACATCATGATGTGAACATGGACTAGAGTGATTCAATGGAAGGTGTATGGATATGAATGTACAATAGGATATTGAGGATGTGATACTGACTGGGATCAGGACAGTATAACCCCATCACTGGTAGGTAATGGGACCTGTAGCCGCCTTCAACTAATTAACACACACACACACGCGCGCCAATTTGCCCACTGAATCAAGCCAAACCAGACTCGACTGATGCGCTCTTTTCACAGTGTGATAGGATTTGATGTAGGCTAGTTTAGACCACCTATACACTGTCTGGCTATAAAGTGATAATACTAAAAGAGAAAGAAAAATATTTGACAGTATTTCTTCTCAATTAGACTAGAAATAGTGGACAATCTTAACCTTGGGGAATATCGAGCAGCAAATTATTTAGTGCACTAACCCAATCTACAGAGTGGAAGGTCAACAAATTGACAGACGAATGTTCTTTCTTAATTTGTCACTCGCGATTCCACACATCGTACTCTTCGCCGCCTTCTCAACCATATTGGAGGAGAAGGTCCAAGGTCTCTCGAACCTTCTTCAATTCTCGTTTTGAGAAGGAGGCAAGGAGCGAGGATGTGAATATATCAGACGTCACGCTGCTTGCTTAGCCGTACCTCTTCTAAATTTCAGGCTAAGGAGCAAGCGTCACAAAACCCCATCTGCTACACACTCACCCCCCATACGGACTCCACAGCGACCCCAACTATTGCGCTAACCAATCACCATTATAACAGACGTCATTATAATGGATGCATTTAAGCCGGATGGATGTGGTTATTTGAGGTGTTCATTCTGACTGTTCTCAGTTCTGGCTGCTGAGTCACACGGTCTTTATCTGCACAGTCGTGACTGAGAGTAGAGAGCTGAGAGGAGGAGGAAGAGGAGGGAATTAAAAGTGGAGCCCAGCTTTGGCTTCGTTATATCACTGTACCCAAAGCTATGAAATTGAATCATAGCTACCAAACTACCCAACACTTAAGCTCCGATTTAGCTTTTACCTAGCTTTTAGTTAGCTGTCTTCATGGGGGATTGGGTTACTCTGTATCAGCATGGTACCCATAGTTTAACTGTAGCCTGGCTATGTCACAGGCTATGTGGACAATTCTATGTCCAGGTCTCTTTCTCAATTAATCTTTCCTCGATACCTTGCAGCCTCTCTCCTCGTCTCCTTCGTCAAAATCCATTGGAGGTAGGGATCGTGGACCTTCCCCGTCAACACATTTGAGAAGGAACCGAGGAGATAGGATGCGAATTATCACATTGGAAAGACACATTTAGATAGAGTCCATAGAGATCCCTTTTAGCTGTAGGGTTGAACAAAGAATAAGGTTCTGACATCTGGTGGTAAGATATTGCCAATACATCATAGTCCTCATTCATGAACGCCCTCTCCTTATTCCTACACTTGTATGGCTAGTCGTTGAAAGAGAAAGAGCCTTCACATACACATGGCCATACACCCTCACAAGTATAGACTCCGAAGCACCACCCAAGGAAACATGACACAGGAAGCGGAGAAAAAGGGTCAAACGCTAAAGGGTTCTCCAGTAACCTCACTAGATAATGACCTGTGATGTAATGGAACTCATCATCCCTCCACTACTTGGTGACACAGTACTACTATTGGTGGTGTTAGATCACCAGAGGCTCTGCTCACTACACAATTACTAGCATGGATTATTTTATTTTAGTCATACACTTAGATTCAGATAAGTACCCATGACATTAGAGAAACCTTCCTCTTATGCACCAATGACCAGTCACGCACTGTGCAATTCAAATAAGGGAGCATTCCCCAGATGCATGGCCTCCTTACATCCATCTCTGTTAGCCTGTACACCTGAGTGACCACTAATCAGATGGAACAGCCAGTAAGTAGGCTTATGACCTTTCACCATACAACCCCAGACCCCCGCACTCCCCAATTCCCCTCAACAACCGTAACAACCGTAGCAACCTGAGTGTCTTCCCAGAATACTCCACTGTAATCTTACCCGCGAGGTCGAAGAGTGTTCAGATGTTACTTGATCCCCACTTTATGTGGCACGGCACACCGGTGTTGCACCTGCTCAGGTGTCCCATTCTCTCCATCAGGGTGTGGCCATAGAGGAGAGAGAGAGAGAGAGAGAGAGAGAGAGAGAGAGAGAGGAGGTCAACAGAAAGACAGACAGACCAGTCACTGAGTTTCTCAGTCAGTTGGCCAGACTGAGATCTAACCAGTTTGTCAGGCAGTTTGTAGGGCATTTGGATTACAACGGTCAATTTGTCAGTTAGTGAGTAAGTTAGTGAATACAGTTTGCTAGGAAACTGGTCTGTGAGCAATAGACAGGGAAACTGCTATCAGGTTCTCCATTGGTGGTGGTCGGTCTATTGGTCAGTCACTCAGCCAGGCAGTAGCATTATATCCTGGATATTTGTCAGCGCAGTCCTTACTCTCCCATCACTCTGTCTCCATCAGCCTCCAGTGGGGGTCATCTTACTACCATGGGGCCAAGATGATTAGCTGGGTGAGGAGATATGGCCATACCTGATAGTGACAAGACTGCTGCTGATGGATCAGCTGAAGAGAGGAAGGTGAGTAGCCAGACTGACCTCCCGAGGTCTGCGTGTTCTGATGTCAACGCTGTTCAGATGAACGAACAACTGACAAGGATGTCTTAGGAGCTGAGCTCCAACTTCCATCCTCATCTCTTTTTCTTTCTATCTCTTTCTCATTTTCTAATTTTCTCTCTCCCTCTCTCTCACACCATCCCCCTTCTCTCTCACGCGCCCTCCCTCCATTTCTCTCTCTCTCTCTCTCTCTCTCTCTCTCTCTCTCTCTCTCTCTCTCTCTCTCTCTCTCTCTCTCTCTCTCTCTCTCTCTCTCTCTCTCTCTCTCTCTCTCTCTCTCTCTCTCAAACACACTCCATACAGGTGCCTGGGGCAGAGGGAACGGACCCGGCCCGTACTGAGGATGAGTCTGTGAGTAATGAGGACCTGCCAATCGTGGAGATCCCCACTACCTTCAACATCAGCCCCCTCAGCAGCCAGACCAGCGGCCCCTTCTCGCAGGACCTCCAGGACCCCCATGTACCCACCGCTCCGCCCCAGGAGCCCCCTGCCCCCATCCCAAAGAGCCAGGGCCAGCTCACCCCACCCAGCTACCACCCTTCCATGCGCTTCATCAAGGTCCAGCCCTTCATGCACGGTATGGAAGCCCCAGTGTACACAATGACTCTCCATCTATGCGTCAAGAGTTTTTCGTGTTCTGGACACAGAGTCAGAAAAACCCCTTTGCCCTATCTATGGGAGCCTCACATGTTGTGATGGGGCTAACCATGGCTCTTAATGGTTTGTGGCCTTACTAGTGCCAGTGTTGCCTTGTCCTCCATTATTTGGACGTGCTCTCATGGTTAATTTCTGGTGCTTCAGATGATGACTTGGTAGAGACTAAGACGCTATGCAGCCGGCTCCTGGCACACTGGGTGCTGCTGGTGATTGTTGCGTGTGGTCTACTGGCCCTGAGTCTAGCCCTAGGCATTGGGCTTGGAGGTAAGGGAAAACTGTTCGTGGCCTTGTTATTACATAGTAATTATCAACCATATTATTACAGAAAGATAATCTGTCTATAGCAGTTATATTGAACCATGTGTGGTTGGATTGATATCAAGGACACATATGCACTTGACACTATATGGCTGTATTACATAGTGTTATCTATCTATTAGAACAGGCAATGTTGTGTGTCAGGATATAGTATCAAGTACTAGGATTAGGATATACAGTGTCTGAGTGGCTCATAGTGTTGGTGTAATAGTATCATTGTTCTGTACTGTGTTACTGTGATTGTAAGAGGAGACGTGTGTCATATGTGTAACAGGAGACACAGTGCAGTAAGTTAGTCTTGAGGCCTGAATAACACGGCAAGTTGTGCGTAACCAGGGGTGGAACATGTCATTACATATCACTGTGAAGTGCTTTTTACATAGAATCGTAGGATTTTACTACAACTTCTTTCCAATTCCACCACTGTGTGTAACAATGTGTGTGTGTGTGTGTGTACATGTGTGTGTCCTCCTTGTTTCCAAAGTGGGAGTCAGCTGCACGGGGAAGTTCCACTGTAGCACATCCACTGTGTGTTTTTGCCAGATCTGCGCAGTGTGATGGCGTCAGCGACTGCGCAGATGGGGAGGACGAACTGCAATGTGGTGAGATGCACACTTCTCTCCCACACACATACACAACTAAAAATGCTCTCTCACTTTAACTCTGATAAAGGGCTTGAAATTCCCTCACACCATTCATCCACATCATTCACTGTGTAACCTCGTCCCCAGGCTAGGTCAGATAGGCAAGACTATTCACTTAGTAACCTGTACACACACTAATGACACACAGTATCTCAGTTGGGAGCATCATATAGAAAGTCACTGACATGTCAGTGTGGTCCTCTGTAGTTCAGCTGGTAGAGCACGGCGCTTGTAACGTCAAGGTAGTGGGTTCGACCCCCGGGACCACCCATACACAAAAAAAATTTTATGGACGCATGACTGTAAGTCGCTTTGGATAAAAGCATCTGCTAAATGGCATATTATTATATATTATATTATTATTATTATTATTATTCTGTCTGTCTGTCTGTCTGTCTGTCTGTCTGTCTGTCTGTCTGTCTGTCTGTCTGTCTGTCTATCCCTCAGTGCGTCTGAGTGGGAGGAGCTCTGTGCTGCAGGTCAACAGTAGGGGTGTATGGAGGACCGTGTGCTCCGCCAACTGGGATCACACACTGGGTTATTCTGCCTGCAAACAGCTGGGATACTCCAGGTACACGGTTGGGAATTGAATTTAATTAGTTCTCTGTGACAGGGGTAAAAAGATAAGTGAAGGGCCAGAGGTTCACTGGGGCTGGCATGGTGGATGACTACGGTGAGGGTGAGTGGAGCAATGTCAAGAGACATACAGAGAATACAGATCATTCCACCATAGAGACTGGTCCCTCCTATAGCTCAGTTGGTAGAGCATGGCGCTTGCAACGCCAGGGTTGTGGGTTCGATTCCCACGGGGGGCCAGTATGAAAAATGTATGCACTCACTAACTGTAAGTCGCTCTGGATAAGAGCGTCTGCTAAATGACTAAAATGTAAAATGTAATAGAGACCATTCTCCCACATGGCCTGAGGAGAAAGAGCCTATTACTCTGCAGTTTGTGAGAAAACTCTCTCCCTCCTCGTTGTAATACTCCCACATTTACCCAGCATTCAGAGGGAGTGCTTTCTAATGGGTTTCTGTACCCAAAGGTCCCATTAACTGCATTGCTAATCCCATTAAAATCAGCCTGGCATTAAATGACGTGAAAAATCACCAGCCCAAACAACCAGCGCTCTAAGTAGGTTAAGATGTTCAGTTATACCATCGTCAGTTTCTCACAACGGATCTGGCAGCGTTCCCATTTTGGGGATTATTTTGGCAATGAGGCCCTTTATCTACTTCCCCAGAGTCAGATGAACACGTGGATACAATTTTTATGTCTCTACGTGCAGTTTGAAGGAAGTTGCTAACTAGCGCTAGCACAATTGCTAACTAGCGTTAGCGCAATGACTGAAAGTCAATGGGTATCTGCTAGCATGCTATTAGATACCCATAGACTTCCAGTAATTGTGCTAATGCTAGTTAGCATTGGCTCACGAAACTACACCTAACTTCCTTCAAACTGGACACAGAGACATACAAATGGTATCCACAAGTTCATCTGACTCTGGGGAAGTAGATAAAGGGCTTCAGTGCCACAATCCCGAAGTATCCCTTTAAGACCGTCCTGGTTAATGTTAGGAGTATGTTTGGATTAATAATTAATTACTTTTATTTGACCAATTTAAAATACAATTAAAGTTGATTCAGCCACATGAAATCAACAACACACACATTCAAAATGATTGTGGATAAATCACCATAAACTCAACAAATGTATTTCTGTTGTGGTCCAAGTATATTAGGATCCTGTGTTCACTTTTATAAATGGATTATAAATGAATGGGTAGTACTATCAATGGATCTAGTCACAAAATGTGAGGATAATACCCTCTGAACATCCCAAACCCACCCACTGCCTTGCCTCTCATATGCAGCCAATGAAAATTCACACTATGTGCACCAATAAACTGTAAATGTCTGTGTGGTTCCTTCTTGTTCGCTCAGCTACATCAGTTCCAGCTCCATGCCCCTCTCATCCGTCGAGTCGGCCTTCCAGGCTAACCTGGTATCAGTCAATCTGAGTCAACCAGATCGCCAGCAGACTGTCAAGATCCACAACACCACCTTCCTCAGGTGAACCATTTGGCCATCCATCTCTGACAGAAAAGAAAACTGTGCTCAGTACCAGTCTGCCAGTATTCAGAACTTTAACAAATGTACAGCTGCAGCAGCAAGTTCGTCCCCTTCTAGCGTATGCCCTTACAACCAAATACCTTTTTACAAGCACTATTGAGTTAAGTATGCAAATTCTTGATTCTGCCATCTACCTACAGTATGCCACCACAAGGACTACATACTATGCTGATGTAGGGCTGACAACAGGGCTGTGATGGTTGAATGTATCCCTGTTCCTGCTATAGGAACTGAAGCCTTTTGAACTAACTGTCTGGAGGTACCCCCAAAGTGGCGCATGATACAGTATTTGTCAGACTATATGAAACAATGGAAGGTGCCAAGAGAATAGGCTAATTCTGCGTTTCCCTCAGAAACGTATGTTGCTCGGTGGCACTAACTAAAGCATGTTTCGTAATCGCGTATTGATTGTTTCTGTCTTGCCAGCAGGACAATAGGTGGCACAGCAGTGTTCGTTGCTCTGCTTCATAAGTCTAGTTGTGATCCCATGTTTCACTTCAGTCCATGTCATGTTTCTCAATTACATAAGGGCCTGACTTTGGCAAAGTACATGGGTTTGTACATGGTACAAATGAGAGCATACATCAAACTTTCCCATTGGTGTTATACAGAGAATAACCTAATTTGAACCAGTTAACTTTCATTTTCTGAAGTTATTTCCAGCATGTTATATACAATTGGTTCTGTGCTCAGGTCCACAGACTGTCTGTGTGTATGTTGGCAGTAAGTATAAGCCTTCATTCTCTGTTTTTCCAGTAAGACCCAGTGCAGCTCTGAGAGTGTGACCGTACTCAAATGCCTAGGTGAGTGAAAGAGTGACAGTGGAGTTAGAAAGTGTGTGTGTGTGTGTGTGTGTGTGTGCGTGCGTTGTGAGTGTTTACTAGCAACATTATCATATCAATGGTTTTCTCCTGGCTGCCCCCTGCAGAGTGTGGCTCCAGGCCCATGTTCAGGTCTCGTATTGTGGGAGGGAACGTCTCCAAACCAGGCCATTTTCCCTGGCAGGCCAGCCTGCACTATCAGAACCAACACCTCTGTGGGGGCTCCATCATCACACCACGCTGGATAGTGACAGCAGCACACTGTGTCTACGGGTGAGCCTCTCTCACAAACACAGGTGCACGTGTGCACACATGCTTACACGTACATACGTACGCACACATTTATACTGTACTGACCTTACATGAACACACCATAACTTTTAAAAGTGATAAGGTTTTTCATTGGTTGACTGTCCATCCTTTCTCAAGGTTTGCAACAAACCCCATGCTGTGGGCGGTGCATGTGGGATTGACAGATCAGCCAGTCAATGGGGTGATGTCTCGCTCTGTGGAGAAGATTATCTACCATGCCAACTACCAACCCAAGGGCTTAAACTACGACATTGCGCTATTGAAGCTTACAGAGCCTCTTACCTTTAATGGTACCACTATCTACAATGAGCCCCAAAAGTATTGGGACAGTGAAGTTTTTGTTGTTGTTTTGGCTCTGTACTCCAGCACTTTGGATTTGAAATGATACAATGATTATGAGGTTAAAGTGCAGGCTGTCAGGTTTAAATGATTATTGTTATTTTTTGCTGTATTTTCTAAACGGTTCAGCCGATATGGATGAAAATACCCTCAAATTAAAGCTGACAGTCTGCACTTTAACCTCATAGTCATTGTCTCATGGAGTACAGAGGCAAAACAACTACAAATGTGTCACTTTCCCAATTCTGCCTGTCTGTCTGTCCTACTGACTGATAGTGATTTAGGGCTCTATTCAATATTCAATCTGTATCGCTGAAGCATTACAGATTGCGCGATAGAAATGTAAAGGTAATTTCTGATTGAGCTGACAAACAGCATGCAAGGTTTACCGTGAATGCAGTCTCCGCCAACGCAGGAACATTGCCTTTAAATTTAAATTGGGCTTTAGTGCTGAACTTCCGCGATACGGATTGAATAGAGCCCTTAGAGTAACTGTTCTATTCACCTCAAATCTGAAGGAGCACAGCAGGTTTATTGGCTAAGTCTTTTCCTCCAGGTCTGGTTGAGCCTATCTGCCTGCCGAACTATGGGGAGAGATTTGAGGAGGGGAAGATGTGCTGGATCTCTGGGTGGGGTGCCACAGTGGATGGAGGTGAGTGGGGTCAAATTCAACACCTGAATAGATGTGCAAGCACTCACGCATACACCACATTCATGCAGGCACGCACGCACACTCTGTGATACACCTTTCCTGCCCTTCCTCTGTGTGTGTGTGTGTGTGTGTGAGTGTGTCTTTCCAGGGGAGACCAGTGTGTCCATGCACTCTGCCCAGGTCCCTGTGCTCTCCAGCAGGGACTGCAGTGGACCAGTGTACCAGGGTGCCATCTCCCCTTGGATTGTCTGTGCAGGCTACCTAGAGGGGGGCAAAGACTCTTGCCAGGTATCTTTCAGAAGTGGACCTCAGAGTTCCATCCACCATTTGTCTAAAGGACAAAGTGAAGACAAAAAGCACACAGCAAAGACGAACGGTTAAAAGCAGGGGGTGGCCACTGTGTTTTTGTGATCGCGAACGTGGTGATTCAACAAGTACAATCATCCGAAAATTAACAGAAAATGACGGCCGGTTTTCTGTTCAAAGGCGATAGGATGGCCACCCGCTGCCTTTAATTGTTCGTTAGCACAGTGTGTTTTGTGCTATAAAGCTCACCTATTTGGAGTCAAATGCACTGCTGCTAATCCTGGTGTGTTTGGCTCCCCAGGGGGATAGCGGAGGCCCTCTGGCCTGTGAGGACTCGTCAGTGTGGAAGCTGGCGGGGGCCACTAGCTGGGGCTACGGCTGTGCTGAGAGGAACAAGCCGGCCGCGTACACTCTCATCCCCCACGCTCTGACCTGGATCCACCAGCAGATGGAGGTGAATTCTACTGTATACTGGTGATACTGTATACTGGTGCACTCATGAACTCTACTGGTGACAGACAGTACTGATGTGTTGTTAAGGCTGCTATGCACAGGAGAGAGATACATTGTTTAAATGGACAGTTCCTTTAAGAGTGAAGTCGTTTTTACAGTTTGAGACAGCCAGTGAACTCAATCAATCAATGGAAAACCTTTTTGTAGTTTATTCTTTAGGATTAGTCAGTGATGAATGATTGATATATTAAAATCTGTTAGCCTATTTAACATCAAAATGACATACTCCCATTCTATGATATCTTCCCCCAGAAAGAAGAGGCACTGAGCCCTTGATCCCCAAAGGATACAGTAGCTGACATACTTAGAGGACTTTACTCAGAGACACTATTTATTTGTTCTTAAGCACCACAATGAATAGACACAATCAGAGGCTGAGCAATAGCTCTATTTTAAAGTGAGAGAAACAAGATGGAGGGAAATGGTGGATGATAAATGGAGGACTGGGGAGATGAACTAGGGCCAGGACTCAAACGGGCAGCGGAAGATCCCCGTTGTAGCAAGGTTGACATTAAAAGGTCATTTCTGATTGATCCGACATCTGCAGCGTTTACTTTGAATGGAATCTCCACGACCGTGGTAACATCGCCTGTAAGTGGTGCATTGCCAAAAAGGGTGATCAGATTGAATCCTGGCCTAAACTTGGTCTCAGAATGTCGACATCTCCATTGTGAGCTCCTTTAATCTCTACACACCAAACTGTGCATCTAGACAAAGGGAATAGTTGTAACATGTATTGTGTATAGTATACGTTGATATATCATTATATAGCAGATGTGTTTGTAGAGAAATATGGTACGGAGGACACAAGTTAAAACCTATGTATAATTTCTAAATGCCATAAAGATATGTATTTTTACGAAAAAGCTTTTTTTCCCCCCAATGATTCCTTTTTTATGTTGCATTCATAAGCATGTGTGAATTTCTTCGTCCAAACGTCTTTGCACAACTATCAACACATCCTCAAACATATCCTTGTTCCTCGTGTCGATATCCTCCCCTGAAATACTGCGTCTACACTCCGAAACAAAAAACAGAGACGAGGAAAATCTTTCTTGAACATTTTATTAGAGAAATCCAACAGACCTTGAAAAGCAGGTCAGCCATATTGGACATTCAATGTTCATACATAAATATTCTTTAAAAAAAAGAAATAAACAAAATAAAAACACTAAGCAAAAAAGCCAAACGAAAATAAAAAAAACTGCCTTCATTCCAAACATTTTACATATAAAAATAGCGTATTTTTTTTCTCTGTTTCTAGTAGGACCTTAAAGGCCTAGTGTGGGTAGTCTTGGACACTGTGATGAGTGTTGAGTAATATAGTCAAACACAGGCATGCATGAGGGTGTGACATCACATCCCGCTGTAGTGGTATGTCACTCCAATCCGGCCATGTCACCCCCCTCCTCCTCTTCCTCTTCTTCTTCTTCTTCCTCCTCGCTCTCGCCCTCCTCCTCCTCGCTGTGTCCTCCCATCATCACCTGCTGCATGGCCAGTGTTGCACTGTCTGATGTCAGCGTCTGCAGCTCGTCTACACTCATGCCCATCGTCACCATGGTAACTGAGGGCACAGGGGAAAAAGATCAAGCTTCAGCCACATCCACTAACCAGTACGTAATTGGACAGTGTATAGTCAATCAGAGTTGACCGGGGTTATTGTGGTAATAGAGACGACTGGTATGTTAAGGACAAGATCAAGTCATATCAAGGTGTGAAAGCCACACCCTGATATTCCTCCGAGCCTGTAGTAAGGACTGGGGATTTGAAAAAAAGTAATGTCCACAACTCTGATATGTTCCTACTGTGATTTCTCACTTGCGGTTTAATCACAACAGGAGCATATCAGAGTTGCAGACTTTTCATATTATTTGGCATTTACCATCATCGTCCATGGCCACCTCTTGCCCTACATCGGCCGAGGCAATGTTGTTGGCCATGGGCCAGAAACGCTGGGTGGGCCGGCTCTGGGGAGTCCTCTTCCTGCTCTTGGGCGTGTCCGACGCACTGCTGTCCATCATGGGCTGGAGGATACGCCTCCTAGCATTAATGAACCTGGAGGGGGAGAGACGGACAGGGGCTATGCCAATCATCTGAGGCCACATTTCACAAATGTGAAAGTATGTACATTTGTGACTACACTTGGGTTTAGGGTGTGTGTGTTAAAGATTTCCTCACCAGTTGTTGACCTGCAGCAGGGTCAGGTTGGTCTGTATGGCGAGCTGTTTCTTCTCGTCCTCTGTGGGATAGGGATGCTGAGAGAGAGAGAGAGAGAGACACACACAGACAGACAGAGAGAGAGAGAGAGAGAGAGAGAGAGAGAGATAAAAGGGTAAAGAACACCAATAATTTACAGAAAATGAGTTCTATTAACTCCCTATTAAGCCCAGTAGGCACTGGGCCTGACTGTGGATGGATGATGTAAGACTAAAGGTAACTTTGTATTGGAACAGCACAGGACATTGATTAAGGAAAGTCGCTTCTATGTGAATTAGAGTTCGGAGCAGCCTGGCCACTAGTCGGATACCTTTTTACCCAATTCCTATGTTACTTGACCTGCTATCACGCAACGTTTGTGGGCACCACAGGAACCATTAATCACACCGGTATAAATTGCTAGTGGGCCGTGTGGGGGACAGTTCTGAGGTATCGGGAGCTTGGGCTTTCGATTCAACTTTAGGATGTACAAAGTCTTGAGGGCCAGGATTGGCAGCTCGGGAGCAAGCAGAGAGGAACAAGCTGTAGTGAAGACGCTTCATCTGAAGTGTGTCTTTGTGAGGGCTAGGATTTTCTAACATCTGGCTGTTAGTTAACCGTCTCTTACACACACACACGCCCAGGCACACATGCCCACACACAAACACACACCGACACCCACACAAACACACACAGGGAACAAAGGGTCTCTGTGAGCTACCAGTCTGGTTAGCTTCCGCCATTGGGCCTGTGGGCTGTCCACTGATTAACCTCTGATTAGCTTATAGCCAGCGGACCATGGGCCAGTCATATGAGGGCCTAACACGTCTGTCTCTGTCAACGCAGCCGCTCCGAGCCATCATGGGACGAGCCATCGTGATGGGGGCCATCATTCTCTCTCAAATGCATGCACGTGCACACTCACATGCACGCACAGACACCCTTGGAATAACCTAGCAGAGCTTTACTCTGGGTTACACTAAATGTAGTTATTCTAATCTTAGGAACGGTTGGTACGAGGTGCAAGGTATTCAGGTATTCAATTTACACCTTGAGGTGTTTTTCACTCACCCCTATGTGCTGGAAGAGCCAGGTACGCATGATGTTGGTGGCTGATTTGGGCAGGACGCCCCTCTTGTTGCTCTTGGATGAGCTGTCCTCCTGGGTGAAGAAACTGCTCAGGTCCTGATTGAGTTGCAACTGGAGCTGTACACACACACACAGTCAATTCACAGAACAGGCTGTAGTTTGTGTGACTGTGACCGTGCGTCTGTCTGTGTGTGTGTGGTGTATTCCTCACCTGTGTGTTGTTGATGCGTATTGTCTGGGGTGAGATAGCTTGTCCCACCACCTGTCCCTGAGGCGTGACTACTGTAATGGGTTGGTACACTGTACCACCTGCTCAAACACACGCACAAATAAACATGTTATGACACATTTTTGGTAACGCCTTGATCCAAGAACCCTCAGCACCTCACCATAATCAACTTTGAAATAAACTCTGAAAAGAGGCAACATTCACGGATTTAAGAAAACGGACTAAAACAGGGAGGGACTACCTGAACCTGATAACTAAGAAAATATAGTTTTCGTTATCCGTTGCAAAATGTTTTGCTATGATGTGCCATAATTAATATGACCCAGTATTGCTAGTAGCTGTCTGAACAGGGACACAGTAAGGCGGAGAGGAGAGGGTACCTGTAGAGGTGGTATGCCACGGAGACATACCTGCTAACACTTGGCCAGCAGAATTGACTGTTGTCAGGGTAACGTTGCCCTGCTGCAGGGCCGAGGCTGACATCACAATGCCTTGAGGGCTGAGGGTTCCTGTGAGTGGGCTGGAGGTCTGGGGGGGGAACACACACACACATTAGCCTAACTGCATTCACATTCATTTGTGTTCATCTTGTATAATTTATACCTATAATGTGTGAATTGTACTATTATGTGCTTATCATTTAATCCCAATACCATAGCCAAAGTTCCCTCTGGGAAAGATACAAATAATCTATAAAGGGAAAATGTGTGTGTATAACCTGTGTGTGAGTGTGTGTACCTGTATCTGGACAGGGGAACAGGGACTGTCCGTTTCTCCTCCACTAAGCAGGGTCTCACTGTTCATCTTGGTGCGCAGGCAGGCGATGTAGCGGCTACAGAAGTCCTTACACAGGTCACTCACTTTCTCCAGCTCCAGGAGGTGGATACGCAGCACCTGAATGGCCTTCACCATCTGGGGTCGGGGGTCAAAGGTCAGGTGAGGTAATTAGAGTTCCATCAGTAGGCATGCTACCAACCCATAACTCTAACCCTGACCCTAGCCAACGGTTAAGCGTAACCATTACCAATTAGGTAATTCAACATCAGTTTGCTGGTCAGTCAAGTCTCTTTAGTTCTTCCCAATAAAGACATTGGTCACACCATTTATTTCTGTATTTTTGATAAAACATTTGGCATCACACATACTCTCTTTCAATTGCTCGATGTAAAGAGAGGCAATTCAAGAGTGGTTTGTTGAAGGGCACAACAGCCGTGGAACTTCGGAATATTATTATTTAACATCAAAGACAGACAATGACATGTAAGAGCTGGGTCATGTTCATTAGGTACCAAAAGGAAGAAAAATGGACTGAAACAGGAAAGGACCAACTGGACATATCCAATTGTTTTCTGTTGCAGAACATTTTCAAATGTTTTCAGTTGCATGCCCAAATGAACAGGACCATGGTAGTGCAGAGTTCCTCACCAGGTTGTCCACGTCTGGGTCGTCACAGAAGAAGCCCTTGCCCTCTTTCTTCTGGCTGCGGACAAAGTTCTCAATGTCCACATTGAAGCTGGCAGAGCTGACGCAGTCCGAGCTCTGAGTTGACTGCTCACACTTCTCAAAGAGTAGGGCCAGCAGAGGGAACAAGGGGTGCCTACGATGCACACACACACACACAAACACGATTAACGCTACAGTAGGCACAGTTGTGAAAGTAGACAAACACACAGTCATGCACCGATGCTTGCACATCCACACAGGTTTACAGTCACAAACAGGACAGGGGAAGGAAAATTAAGGAGGAGGAAGAAAAAAAAAGAGGTGGAGAACAGAGGGATAGAGCTCTGATGAGGAGGACAGAGTGGAGGAGTACCATGACTCGCCTACCTGTAGATGGCCTGCTTGTCTGTGTCCATGGGTGTCTGGGGCTGCGTGGCAGAGGGGCTGCCTGCTCCCCCCTCGGTCAGACTCTGCTCCGGATCCCCCTCCTCATCCGCTCCCACACGCATCTGCACCAAGACCTTCACCCAGGGAACAGACAAGGATGGTAAAGAGAAGAGGGGGAAACAAGGCAGAGAGAATAGAAGGAGAGTGGAGGAGAAGGGAGGGGATAGGAGAGTGAAATACAGTAAAGTTAGTCTGTGGTTGGTGGATGACTCCCCTCAGGGTGGTAGTGGGGTGAGGAGTACACATGCCAGCCCCAGGGAGAGAGGAGAGAGATTGGTCTGTCTATTTCCACTCATAACACTGTCTCAATTCAGCAGCTCACAGAGACCGCCTTAGCCATTTATCACTCACATTGAACCCTCATGAATACACTGTCTGTAACTTCTACACTCTGTTAGAAGTTACTCATGATCCATTCTAGTCCTTCCTTGTTTCAACAGTTTCTTCCATTTGGTTTCTAATGAACACAACCCTGTCCTACAGTGCCTCAGGTCAGGCTCATTACAATTTCTAATTTGTCACTAGATCTGACATCAATTGGTTTTTCAAGTGGTCCTCTGTAGCGCAGTTGGTAGAGCATAGTGCTTGCAAAGCCAGGATAGTGGGTTTGATTAATGGGTCCACCCATACGTAAAAAATGTATGCACTCATGACTCATGCAAGTAATTTTATACTGAACAAAAAATATAAAACGCAACATGCAACAATTTCAAAGGTTTTACTGAGTTCATATAAGTAAATCAGTCAATTGAAATAAATTCATTAGGCCCTAATCTATGGATTTCACATGGCTGGGAATACAGATATGCATCTGTTGGTCACAGATACCTTTAAAATAAGGTAGGGGAGTGGATCAGAAAACCAATCTGTATCTGGTGTGACCATCTCCTTTCATCAGTTCTATCAGCTGTCCGGTTGTCTGGTCTCAGACGATCCTGGGCTGGCGTGGTAACACGTGGTCTGCGGTTGTGAGGCCGGTTGGACATACTGCCAAAACGAAGTTGGAGGCGGCTTATGGTAGAGAAATTAACATTCAATTATCTGGTAACAGCTCTGGTGGATATTCCTGCAGTCAGCATGCCAATTGCACACTCCCTCAAAACTTGAGACATCCGCGGCATTGTATTGTGTGACAAACCTGCACATTCTAGAGTGGCCTTTTATTGTCCCCAGCACAAGCTGCACCTGTGTAATGATCGTGCTGTTTAATGGCACACCTGTCAGGTGGATGGATTATCTTGGCAAAAGAGAAATGCTCACTAACAGGGACTTAAACAAATTAGTGCACACAATGAGAGAAAGAAGCATTTTGTGCATATGGAAAATGTCTGGGATCTTTTATTTCAGCTCATGAAACATGAGACCAACACTTTACATGTTGTGTTTACATTTTTGTTCAGTATAGATAAATAATATGCTAAATGGCATATATTATATTAAAATGACATGTATGATGATGAATATTGCCTCACTCCTACGTGCACACTGTAGATGTGTGGCTGTTACAGTATTTGAAAAACATTTCCTCACTCACTGTCTCTGGATATGGACTGTCCCTGCCCTTGTGATTGCCATGTGATGGCACAACAATTACTTTGATTGAAACGCAATGTGTTAAAAATACACTTGGGTGAGAGCTGGAAGATGTGTGGTTAGTCTCAGCCCCCGCGATCTCATCCATGTTTGCTGATAACTTGAGAGGCCATGGAGTCCACAGAGGATTCATTTTCACAGCAGCTCATTGAAATTGGGAATTCAGGACAGTAACACCCTTCTTCAGACAGTTATTAATTTACTAGTGAATTTGTGGTTACAAGTTTGGCGTATATATCACATAGCTCATTCATTGGAATATGGCCACCCACTTTGTCATATGTTCAAACTTCACTCCTCCTCCTCATCTTCAATCTCTTACCTGATCTACCTCCGGGTACTCATCTAGAGATGCCGACTGGGCTTCCATCATGGTCGCTGCCAATGATGCCAATACTCGGGCATTCCAGTCCAAGACCTGTGTGCCTACCAGTCCTACAGAGACACATGCATCAAAAATGGGGTTTAGATTAGATTTTTGTTGTTGTCATAGATTAGCTATAACCATTGCATGATACATACATAGACAACGAAGAAAGTAGAGTCAGGGTACTATGTCAACACAGGGCCTTTCATTCTGCGGTATGAGGATGCATGTTTTTTGGAATTTAGTAAATGCTTGGTCACTGTATGCGTGTATCAGAATGGAATTCAGATAGTGCAGTTATCGATACACACGCGTGCAGCGCGGGAGGTTATGTTGTACAGTCAGTAGCCCTAACTTCCGGGCACAGCTTTTGATTAAATAAAGCATTGTCCAACGCAGCAGTTGTGCATCTACAGTTCGTAATGTTCACCAAGCATCATCCTAAACTGGGACACTAGGCCCCTGAATCTCTCCCTAGCAAGTCGTATGCATGTGCAAAAATAAATATGGGAATAGATCAAATGTGTTTACATAAAACAAACGTGCATACAATTTCGTGTCAATTTGATAACCAATTTATCCTACCCTCGCTGTCTAAAGATCGTATAGCGGCTCAGGCTACATGTATCAGATAATATGGGTGCTTTCAAATGTTGAACAAATAAAACTGTCAACAGAACACATCCCATCGACATTGCGATCATCGATAGGTATCGCTCCTAATAACATTCGAATGTCCAGTAGTCTGTAGATTAGTCAACACACGCTTGGCCTTCTCATTCACCCTTTCCAATGCGCCTTTTCCAAATAAGCGGACATCTTTTTTTCTCTCGCCACAACAGCTTGCCTTTATGTGTGATCAGTCTTTTGCCTCACTGTTCATTTCGCAAAGTGCACATTGGCTCATTCCATGGCGAGCCATTGCATTCGAGCATGTTGCGTCGATTGTTAGATTGATGGGCGACGGAAAAAAAGAGGAATTTGAGTGACAGCTTACCTTAATGCCAATCTTCGTCACAGTGACAAGGGGCTGCTGCAATCCGGGCCCGCAGTTTTCTTGTGTCGTCACTACGTATAGGCTCGCAGACTATTTTCTCTCATTAATATTCAACATGTGGGAGGAGAAGCAATTCTGAACATGCCTTGTCCCGCCCCTTGAGGCCGATACCCTGCCCCTTATGCTTAAATTATGATTAGGAATAAAAATACATTTCTATTACATCAAATGTATACACATTTAAAATTGTATGTAATTGACTAGGCATACAAATTACAAAAACATTCATAATTGAAAAATTATCCCATATAATTGACATCATGAGTTTTATATTTCTGATGCAATGACTACTTTTTAAACAAAGAAGTGAATGAGACTACCCATACTAAAACATATCATTTATTAAAAGATAGTTATTGGTCAGACTTAACAGACAAAAGACAGTGACAGAGTGAAGATCATTTTGCGGACCAATCATCTAACTTGGGCTCTGAAAAGAGAGAAAAAAGAGACACTGTACAGTGTGAAATCTATGCTCCTAAATTAAGATGTACACTCTGGATCTAAAGTGCATCACAGAGGATCAAAGGATAGTAGAATGTGTGCCTAGACTGACCTGACTTTTTAAATGTAATTTAAACTACAATCAAATACTACACAACCAAATCTTACCAAACGAAACAAAGGACTGATACTTATGAACACACAATTGACTCACCAGGGAACTTAAAATCTGGGAACTCAGTGAGGTCACCGCCACCATACAACCGCTGTAGTTTGGCCATCTCCTCAGACAGTGCTTTCTCATACTTAGGGCCCGCATCCACTAAGCCCCCAGAGGCTCTGATAGGAGGAATAAAAACGGTTGGAAGATGGAAAGAAGTGGTAAAAACATGGTGAGACATGAGGAATCAAAGAGATGGTGTGGAAAATCTACACCCCCTTTCAAAATGGTCACCATTGTTGCCTTATAGCCTGGAATTAAAATGGCTTAAAATAGTTTGTTATTCCAATGATCTATACAAAAAAATAAAATAGTTTGGTTGGATAAGTGTCAACCACCTAGTAATAGCAATCCTAAATTAGCTCAGGTGTAACCAATCACCTTCAAAATCATACACCAAGTTAATTGGCCTCCATCTGTGTTAAATTGTAGTGATTAACATGATTTCAGGACACATTCAGCAGGTCCTGTAGGTTCCCTCTGCTGGGTAGTGAATTGCAAAGCAAACACTCAACCATGAGCACCAAGGAGCTTCCAAAGAACTCTGGGACAAAGTTGTGGAAAGGCACAGATCAGGGGATGGGTATACAAATATTTCAAAGGCCTTGAATATCCCCTGGAGCACGGTCAAGACGATTATTAAGAAGTGGAAGTTGTATGGCATCACTAAGACCCTGCTTAGATCAAGCCGTCCCCAGTGGTGTAAAGTACTTAAGTAAAAATACTTTAAAGTACTACTTAAGCAGTTTTTTGGGTATCTGTACTTTACTATTTATATTTTTAACAACTTTTACTTTTACTTCACTACATTCCTAAAGAAAATAATGTATTTTTTATGCCATACATTTTCCCTGACACCCGAAAGTACTCGTTAAAAATTGTGCAATTCACGCACTTATCAAGAGAACATCCCTGGTCATCCCTACTGCCTCTGATCTATGTCTGAGTGTTGGAGTGTGCCCCTGGCTATCTGTAAATTAAAAAAACAAGAAAAAGGTGCTGTCTGGTTTGCTTAATATAAGGAATTTGAAATCATTTTACTTTTGATACTTAAGTATATTTTAGCAATTATTTACTTTTGATACTTAAGTATATTTAAAACCAAATACCTGTATACTTTTAATCAAGTAGTATTTTACTGGGTGACTTTCACTTTTACTTGAGTCATTTTCTATTAAGGTATCTTTACTTTTACTCAATAATGACAATTGGGTACTTTTTCCACCACTGGCCGTTCTGCCAAACTGGATGACCGAGCAAGTAGGAGACTGATCAGAGAGGCTACCAAGAGTCCACTAGCAACTTTGAAAGAGCTACAGGCTTTTATGGCCAAGACTGGTCAAAGTGTGCATGTGACAACTATATCCCAAGCACTCCACAAATCCAGGATGTATGGTAGGGTGGCAAGAAGGAAGCCCACCTTGAATCCCAAAAACACACTGGAGATTCTGTAGCCATGTGGCAAAAAGATTTGTGGTCTGACGAAAAAAAAAATGAAACTGTGTTACGTTTGGCACAAACCAAACATGGCACATCACTCAAAGAACACCATCCCTACTGTGAAGCATGGTGGTGGCAGCATCATGTTATGGGGATGTTTCTCATCGTCAGGGACTTATCAGGATAGAGGGGGAAATTAATGGAGCAATGTACAGAAAAGTATTTGCGCCTATCTCAGTGAACTAATCCATTGCGGAGGCTAAAAGCCAATTTATGCTTGATCCGAAAATGTGGTCGGTGGCTCCATATAGATGATGTGACGCAATTGCGGAGCCTCCAGAGGCATGCAGAGGCCAAATCGAGCTCTGTACCTCATCGCCATGCGCCTTCCAAATTTTGTAACAATGCGGAGGGCTCTGTATAGCTCCGCATTGACATGATTGGTTGACGGTAGGTGGGGGCGGTACATCCTGTATAAACACAAACTCACTTCCTTGACCACAGCTCTGCACTGCTCCGCAAGAAGTATGAAAGCCATGACTTCTGCTGAGGCCATATCGCCGTAAATGCTGCATGGCCAATGCAGACATCGGATTGACCATGCGCCCAGATGCACAATGCACTTCTCTCTCCAGAATGCGCTCTCTCCCGCCAATTTGTGCACATTCATTGTTTCATAACTTCATTGTGTGAATTGTTTGCGTTTGATTGTTAGTGTATATCAATTTGGATAGAATTTTGATTAACCACATGACAATGATTTTGAGATATGAAGACGTTATTATAAATTAAATGAAACTGGCATGCAGATCGGTAGAAATGGTAAGATAAATTGGCATTCAACATGAGAAAGGTTGCCGGCTCCTAGTGTAGCCTATTAACGGTAGATCTAGATCTCAGGCGCCCTCTTGAGGCATTTCTCTTATTTAATCAAACCGTAAACTTAAAGCATCAGACAAGCTCAATGCATATAGTTGATTTTATTAAAACACATAGGGTGTGTCTATATATGGAAAAATACACGTTTAAAAATGTCGACCAATTGATTCGTAGAAAGAACAGAGGACTTTTGGTCAACCAAGATTTGTTTTTGTCTGGGACAGCCCTAAAACAGACTCACAGCTGTAATTGCTGCCAAAGGTGCTTCCACCAGGTATTAACTCAGGGGGGTGGAGACTTATCCAATGATGATATTTCAGTTTTAAGTGGATTTTTTTGTGTGAAAAAAAAATATATATAAAAAATACAAAAGTGTGGAGTATGGTCTGTATATAAGTGGAAAATAATCCTTATTTAAATGCATGACATTCTGAGGCATTGACACAATTCTTTTTTTTTAAGTTCAAGGGGGTGTAGACTTTCAATAGGGACTGTATAATCATAGCTCAAATGTTGTCTTGATTGCTTACTTGCTTCTTGTGGAGTATTCACAGATGTTGTCCAGGAAAAGCCTCTGTACTGGGTCAAGTTGAGCTGGAGATGAGAAGAAAACAATTATTGTCCATTCTAATGAGGTATGACAACATGCATCAGAATAAATATAGTTAACACATGACAGAGCCAACAGTCAGTGACTTAATCCACATCCAACCCACACCTGGGAACAGTTGATGTAGAACAGTTGGCAAAAATGTTTGTGAGGAATGGAAATGTCATAACAAGTGTCAATTTAATTTTCATTTTCTAAAGCCATTTCAGAGACTGAGATCCATACATCTACACTGTCAATGCAGGGCTCTAATTACCAAGATGAAGAAAAACACAAAATAAACACATTTCATATTATCTTGAGGTCCGTAATACATGCCAGATTTGCAAGTGATTGACATGCACCGCCCCATGAAAACATTCAGGTATGTGTGAGAGGATAAGTGTCAGGAAGTGAGAGAGAGAGTGTGAGAGAGTGGGGTAATCACAAACCAGGGATCACATCATGAACAGTCCCAGGAGACACTGGAAGTATCCCCACCTTACAGCATGTTGTAACTTTAACATTAGCTTTAGTTAACATGCTGCAAAGGTAATTTCCATACAGTATGTAAATAAAGACTTGCATACATTATATTCTAATAAAAAGAGTGATAGACTATGCCGTGTGCACTGTGAATAAACAAGTGTCTCTAAAGTGTCTCTAAACCTGATGCCTGGTCTATGTAGAATAACTAGAGAGAGACAGGGGTTTAATATGTTGTGATGTGTACCCTCAGGTGTCTCCACTGCTTCAGACTCGACCGGCCCTTCTTCAGTTGCTATCATTGGCGCATCTACCAGTTCCTCCTGGGCAAAGACTGTTTCTACTATAATCTCTGAGGGTATGCAAGGGGACATTTCTGGGATGACTGGTGGTTCAGAAAGGGAAACTTCAGGGGTGACAGCAGCTTGAACTGCTTCTGGGGTGGCTGCAGAAGTAGTTGATGTCTCTTCAACTGCAGGGAACATTTCAAGAGCTGTAGCCTCTTCTGGGGCTACAGGTAATTCAGCTAGGGTCACTTCTAGAGCTACAGGTGTTTCAGCTATGGAAACTCCTGGAACTACAGGTATTTCATCTGGAGTAACTTCTGGGACAGCTTCTATGGGGGCCACTTCTGAGGCAACAGCCTCTGCTGTGGCAACTTCTGGGATGGCAGCCATTTCAGCTGGGGCACCCTCTGGAGCAGTTTCTATGGGGGCAACTTCTGAGGCAACAGCCTCTGCTGGGGCAACTTCTGAGACTACAAATATGTCAGCTGGAGTAATTTCTGGGGCAGCTTCTCTGGGGACAACTTCTGAGCCAACAGCCTCTGCTGGGACAGCTTCTGGGATGGCAGGTGTTTCAGCTAGGGCAACTTCTGGGACTATAGCTGTTTCCGTTGG